CAATTCAGCAAACACAAAAACGTTATTGAAAATAAAATTTTTTAAATGAAAAACGTACAAAATATAAATTTGAGGTTAGGTTTTGCAYGCTATCTTGCGGCTTATAGTTTCGTTAAGTGAGTACTGTTCCGATTGCCCGGCTTCACTTTCTTAACACGTACGGTATACACTATGCCCTCTCTATATTACTCTATGTTAAAAATAAATAAATTTGTTTATAGCTTTAAGCCTTTAACCTAGTTTGCAAAGTAAGCCGCCTGATCAACATATAATTCAGTAAAACCAGTTTATACTTTTTTTGTACCCATTCTTAACTCAGCCCGCTTAAAATTTATAATATATTAAATTTGTATTATGTGTACAGGGATGACCGGGAGAGGTGGGGAACATGCGAGGATCCGTCACCGTGCGCGGAAAAAGACGAACTATTTTGGCCCAAAGACAAGCGCTGCTATCGCAAGCACACTAGGGGACCATGCACTGAAGGGCAGCTATTGGTGCCTAGCACCATGAATGATTTAATCGGTGACTGTAGATGTGAAAACGTTCCAGAGCTCGTGACTTACTTTTGGGCACCTACAGGTTAGAGATATTAGTACAATATTATTAGTACACTTGTAAATATATATATTTAATATTTATGGATGTATGAAAAAATCTTTCTATCCTGACAGTTTTACACTAGTGACCTAGTGGCTTTAGGGGGTAATTTTAATGAGCACTTAAAATGTTATTGGATTTAAAGGAATTTTATACAGCTATCTCACACCAACATAACATAAAATATAATATAGACATTCCATGCATATAATAATATACTAAATAATTTTAATAGATTAAATATTAAATAATATTTAATTGCACACAATCTATATATAGGCACGTGTCACGAACATTACACGATGGGACCGTGTCAGGAACGCGGAGGAATATTTCTGCCTGGAGGCCAGTGCGGATGCGACCCGTCGCTACCGCACTTCCACAACGGCACTGGCAAGTGCTACCAACTTGGTGGCATCGGGCCTTGTTCCCCCGGACATCAGTTCCTAGTGCCGGCTGGTGGTTCCAAGGCCGAGTGCACATGCAAGGAGGGCCACATCAAATGGTTCGGTGACGGCGCGTGCTACAGGCCATACACGCGCGGGCCATGCGCCGCAGGCAACATGTACAGCGTGAACACGACGGCCACCGGCATGGCGGTCGGATGCGTGGACGTGCCGTGCACCGCAGGAAAGCTGTACTTCCCGGGTGGTAAGGGCTGTCACCGAGTGGGCACGCAGGGCCCGTGCCCGGCCGGCCAGATCGTCCTGTTCCAGGACACAGTCAAGACGTCCATCGAGGGCGTGTCATACCTGGGCATGTGTGGTTGCGCCAATGTGGACGCGGCCGCCGGAACATTTTACTCGTCTTCGCAGACGCTCACGTGCAAGCCACCGGCCGCGGCCAGAAAACTACAACAACAGCAACAAGACGTTCGTGGCGCCGGTGCAAGCCCGCGGCGGGCAGACCCGTTGATGCAGCCACAGGATCCGTGTGGTCACCGACGCGGCACTGTCGCCTGGACTGATCTGTCATGCAAACAGCTGTACCTGCAGGGGCCATGCGAACCCGGTGAGTGGGTGGTGCCTGACCGGGGTAAGGGCACCAGGAAGGGCAGGGGCTGGAAAATGGGCAAGTGTGAGTGTCGGCCCGGGTTTACGGCCGTGCCAGTGCCTGGTGACACCAACAATGCCACAACGTGCCAGCCACCGACGGTCATGCTGGCCAAGTTCCTAAACATGAGCGAAGAGTTCAACCACAACCACAACAATAACAGCGCCACAGCCGACGAACGCGGTGACGACAACGACGACGGCGACGATAACAACGGTAACAACAACGGCGTCCGAACGCGATGATTATATTATTATATTATACGTTTAAAACGACGCATATTATAATATCACGTAATTTAGAATATCGCTCTGGACGCTCTGGAACGAAGTGTGAACTAAATTAATTATTAAATATCATAATTATGTCAAGACTGCTAAGTATATTATTATTATATCGTCCTATATATGTAATATATTTATAAAAATGAAACATAAGTATTATGATGAATGTTCTTTATAGTGTTAGATCGGAAGACCAATGACACTTTTAAGCTGGATTATTAGAAAATCACTAACTAGGTACTTTAAGTTTTGACAAACTATACAATACGTATGTGTGTCGTTTGTGGTCTAAGTCCGTCATTATTATTTGTATTATACTAGGTATAATTATTTTTTTTTAATTTATAAACTTAATTTCTATAAATATAATCTATATGGATAACCATATAATCAATGAATTGACATTGACCTTCATATCATGCATAACTACGCATGCATAACTACAGTGGTTCTTTGACGATTTTAAAAATATTTTTATTTAGAATTAGTATTTGTTAAGAAATAAAATTTTTGAGAAAAATTGKACTAAATGATTTTAATTATTTTTAATTTTAAATTCTGAGTGGAGCGAAGAATGTATTGGTTTTACAATGATGTTTATTTCTTTTTCTTTTTTATTCTGTAAACACTTTTTCTCCCTCTATCTAAACTTGCTCAAAAGTATCAAGTGTAGCATTTTTTCTGAAAGGTAATGTTTTTAAGCTGGTACTTTAGAGAGGTCATTTTTCGATTTTCGAAACGGTACTCGTAATACAAGCGGTTAAAGGAGCAAAAACGTACGTCTTCACAATTGTATAATATTAAATATCATTACGGACGACGTTTTTTTTTTTTAATTATTACAATATAATTAATATAGTATAACATATCCTAGACTGATAAACCGTATCCACTCAGAATCGTTTTTCGTTTACAATGATATTACATCATTGAATTCAAATTTAATACCATCCATTACAGTAACCTATACTGCACTGCAGAGCGACATCCACTCACTTATCCGCTTTTTTTACATTTTAAAATTGTAATTGGACTCAATATTTAAACCCAATATATATACATATGTTTAATTGTTTTAAATTATGACCTTCATCGAATAACTCGAATACAAGAAAAATAAATTTTTTTTCGTTTAGATAAATATAATAATAATACTATTTTTTTCTCACTTGTGGGAATCCTCTTGAATATTCTTAATAAATAGTTTTTATTTGTATAGTCAATCACTCGATATTAATTATTATTTGTGAATTGTGACAATGTGTATACTATTTATGTAGGTTCGTCAATTTGTAAATTTTATATCAATCTAAATACCAGGTAAATCTGTAATATTGTATACAATAATGAATAGATTAATACATGGAAAACCCATTAATATAAAAATGAATCATAAATTCCAAAATCATAATTTAACTTTTTTTGTAAAATACCTACATCGACATAAACTTTTTAAGATGGCATATTAACTAATGATATATTATTTTTCTATATCTACTGCAAATTATAATAAGTTAATTAGGTATCTTTATATATTATATACTCAGTCTTCATAATAGGATGCAGCGTTAATTAAATTAAATTTGAACTGTTATTCATAATAACGGTATATACATGATTACGTATTATATAAACTGTTTAAGTGTAATTATAAATATGGCCCAATTATAATAAAAACAAATATAAAATGATAATCAACAGATAATTTTTTAAAAATCTAATGCAGCGATATTCATAATGCATATTTTATATTGTGCATTTGTGTTGGACACTTAGATAAGTTTTTTTGTAAGAAAATTAATGTTACCAACAAAACTGTAGTGACTGTAGATATTAATTATTAATTAAGTACCTAGTTATCATTATTTTTGATTAAGAATAAGATAGTATAATATGTATACTAGTTTGTTTTTTCTAATAAACTGCTGTGTATAATATGTGTAGATGATTTTATTATTGTTGTGTACTGTGTATTATGTAAATTTAAAATGTTCATATTATGTTATGATAGGTATGTATAAGTATATATATTATATGAAAGTAAGTATCTGTAGGCTTAGGTTCACATAGTCACATATAGGTACAAATTTGTTTTGACCTTGCAGGCAATTTGTTGTATTATGTTAACACTATACGAACTAAAACAGGTAGAAAATTAATTCGGTTAGGAGTTTAGGACGCGAATAGAAGAAATAAATGCACGTGAACGCCTCTTATTTGAATTTTGTAGAATGACATTTACTATTTGCATAATTACAAATGAGAAAATTTTAAAAAATTTTCGAACGAATAGGTACCTACAAGACGTCTTTATCAAGACTGTATTGTGAAATCACTACTCGTCAAAGTAAAACTGTAATAAGTTATAAGTATCAGTAATATTAGTTATATTATAGACTATAGTGCACTATATGTATATGTAGGTACTATATCATATATAATATACCTACATGGCAGGTACAGTGGTACAGACAATAATAATGGTAATTAATATATAACAAATAACCTATGTGTGTGACAGTAAATACAAACTTTCCAATTTATCTATTTGATATTTTTAGAGAAATATCACGAAAAACATTCATTATATTTGAACTGAAATATGCATGAAAACCAATTTTGAACAGTGAATGCTTTCACTTGTACCTATATARTATTTGCGAGTGTGTAGCATTATACGATGTCATCATGCTAACGTTATTGCTCTGCCCTTTCGCATCGGAACGAGTGGGAGGTTAGGATTGAATATAGGTATTCACGTCGAAGGTTCCCATTTCCTGCTTGGGTAGTTACACATGAGTAATCTTTAAAAGAACAAATGACGCCTAATGGTGTATATAGTGACGAACAAAACGCCTACATTACACCAATATAATTATCCATTAGACAAAGTTTCTAAACTTTTTTTTAAATTTTATCGTAGAAAAATTTTGAAAAAAATTAATTGTTGATTTAGTTGACCATTTATACCATTCCAATGTGACAATAAATTGGAATACATCTCATTCGTTTTTCATAATACATATTTATAATCTTCCTATATATTGTACTATAATAGGCACTCCAGCTATTATATGGTAATTTTACTTAAATTACTACCCTATAAGGTTAGGTTAGGTTAGATTACAACCAACATTTTAATATTAAATTAAGATGTGTAGGCTTTTTTTTAATGACTAATACTGCATATTAGAGTCATTGTTATTGCATATTGTTAATCACTTTAAATATTACCTAAAATTAAAAATATGGGAAATCGTCATAAATTGTACAATTCATAGACTGGATTTTGAATTATTAAACGTATTAAACATGACTTTAAAACTACAATTTTGACTATAGCTGATATGTGGATTTTACAGATGAAATTGTTGAATGTGTGAGCTGAGTATTAACTATTAGCCCGTCAACTACAAAAGGGTGGACTACCCTGGTGTATAGTGAGGAAAAAAATACCTATTACTTTACAATAATTTATTATCTGTCGGATAAAGTTGATGAATAATTTTTTTTTAATTGTATCGTAAAAAAGTGTTGACCATTCCAATTTGAGAATTACTTGGAATAAATCACAATTATTTTTCATAATACATTGTATTTTGCAGCAGTTTACCTAAAATCACTGCCATATGTTAATAGTTAAAAAGTTTAAATTAAATTAAAATTAGTAGGTTATTTATAGTTATATAGTAATTGTAATATTTTTGAACATCTCAAATATTAGAATAATTATGTAAAGTGAAAAATATCGGTAATCGTCGTAAATTTTACAATAGACTGCAGCGTGAATAACTAAACGTGACCTTAAAGCCGTCAAAACCTTCAGATACACACCCTGTTTCAGGCTTTTGAATATAATATAATATACAAAGAGGCACGTTGCCAGGATTTTATTTTTTTTTTTNTAGTACAATTTTTATACTTAATTGATATATAAAACCTATTGCTATTAAGCCCTAATGATTTTATGTGCCGGTGCACAAAAATTTCGGGGGGTTGGTATACTCTGTGTATGCGTTACCTATGTAATTATATAATTATATATGTATACATCAGTGTCTTGGGGGTTCCAGACCCCATGGACCCCCCCCCCCTGGATACGTGCCTGTATACAAAAATTATTGTGTATTTGTATGAATATGAATATACATAATAACCAATACGGCTTTATAAGTTTTAATATCTAATAAATCGTTTTTACATTCTATAATACGATTACATACCTAATCATACGAATGTATTTCTTTTGAGTCAATTTTTTCTGTTAACAACAGCAGCTATTTTCTCAAACAATTGTTTGACACGTTTTAAATTATTGCGCGGTAGGTACATGAAATGCAATAAGCGGAAAATATTTAAGCAAAATTATGTACAAATATTTCAACCATAGCCAAATTTAAATTGTTATTGTTAAAACACATGAGACGTTATAAAATATCATACATGTCCACGCATCGTAGGCGATTTACTGCATATTGACTCGGGTTGAACCGTTTAAGGTTACTCATCGGTTTTAAGTGGTAACAATTTAATATACAAATACGCTATAGTATTATATGTAAGTAGGTACCTATTTAGTTGTCGTTTCAACACAAGGCATGCAGACGGATTTGATTTTGATATAGAGACGACGGCGGCGATCCCACAAGATATTTCTTGGAACAAATGCACTTTACTAACGCCCTCACGGTTTTTAATTTTTTTTTCAAACGGCTTGTTTTTTTTATGCTCAAACCGATGGTGTAATTTTGTTTTACCGGAAACTTTTATTTTAGAAGTTATAGCCTTCCAAAGTTTGCGACTTTACGTTTATACATGTCACGCGCGCATCTCTTATACTATAGGTCATCCGCGGGGCTTATAGCTCGTCTGCCATAAGTATAAGTGACCTAACAAGTATATTGAACCTTAAGGGTAACACAAAAGACTCATGTCTTCAAACTCAAGGGACCTCTCGGCTCCGGTCACCAGGCTTGATATGGCTAGTTAAATTAAAATAATAGGTTAGGTTAGGCTAGGTTAGCTAATACTTACTACGCGTGTGCTGTTGACTGTTGCGTGTTATGTGATGAGAGGCGCCCCGTTATACGTAATACTGATGTCATAAAATCGCAAACTTTGGAAGGCTATAACTTCTAAAATAAAAGTTTCCGGGAAAAAAAATAACACCATTGTTTTAAGCATAAAAAACAAGTCGTTAAAAAAAAATTGAAAATCATGAGGGGTTGATAAAGTGCATTTTAACCCATCTCTTAAATCACACTTTTGGTATTCATTAGTGTTTCGGTAACTGATGGGATTAAAAAAAACCATTTTCATCCTGTCCAATGGACGGAAAAAAGCAATTCTTTGAGCGCACCACTATACTCGTGTGCCGTGTTCTCGTAAAATGTTCAGCTATATCCAACAACGTGTGGTAACTGGTAACCTTACCTAACTAACCAATCACAGCAAAGTATTTACGCGAAAGTGTATAGTGGAAACCAGCCTTTAGCGTTACCCGATATGGTGTATAGGAAATTCATCTTTTCGTTGATACAGTCGTGACAATTTAACCTAACTTAACTTTAACGTCGGTTTCAGGACTTCTAGTAGCAAATACGATTTAGACGGTCAAAAACCTTGAAAAATTAATATTAAGTTATTGTTATTAGTACCTAGAGTAGTAATTATTTAAAAATATCAAAAATACCATCGAACAATTTATTTTAAAGATTTTCAAGTTCAAACAATGTACATATATTATATGCAATAATTACCATGGTCTAGGTACTAACCAACTAACCAAATGACAAAATGTTATCTTGATCTGTGGTACATAATATTTGATTTACTGCAACCATGAAGATCACATAATATATAGATTTATGTCTTTCATGAAGGTATAGATCTCTAATATTTATGGTTCTTACCGAGTTCTTACATTATTATCTGTCATTCGGCAATTTACAAGAAAACAACAATCATTTACGATAGCGCTATCTAGCGACAAAAAAGAGGTAGTTATGAACAATAATTGTTATTTGCACGTGTTATGTTGCATTCTGGCATTCAAATTTCAACTGTAGGTAGTAAAAAGGAGCGACACCCCTTAAAGACTAGAAATAGATAAACAAAGTTAGGAGGGAGGAGGGAAGCTATTTAGATTTTAATAAGAATTAAGAGGAGCCTTTGGGGTTAACTAATAAACTGTTAACTATAATAGAATAGAAACAGACAACGTATTATAATTTATAGTATATTATGATAGTCGATATTTAATAGTACAATCCATCATATATTCATACTATTATGTTCAATATATAGTTAAATATATTGGACACTAATAAATTATAAAGTAAACTGAATACAGGAATATTATTTGTGTACATATTATACAATAATTGTTTCTATAAAAAATGTCAATAGGAAAACGCAGATAATATATTAATCATAATAGACTCCCAACAATCTATGACTATGGGTTTTAGTGTTTTACAGTATAAGTAAAATATGTAGGTATACATATACTGTAAACTGTATAGGTACAGTATAAATATGTATGATTGTAATTTGTGATCAATAAATACCTACCACAACTAGTCCAGTTGTGATGTATGGATGTGAGACATGGTCCACGACGCAGGGTGACGAGAATAAACTGTTGACTTTCGAAAGAAAAATACTTAGGAAAATATATGGGCCWWTATTAAACCCGAATACTGGTGTATACGAGCGAAGAAAAAACGCTGACTTAAGCAGTCTGTTTAATACAGCCAATTTAAAAGATTTTCTWAGGTCGAAAAGGTTAGAGTGGGCTGGCCATRTTTGGCGTGCAGAGGGTAAATTGATAAAACAGGTACTCATCAACAAACCAAATAAAAAACGACCTGTAGGAAGGCCAAGACAACGGTGGTTGGACCGAGTAAAAGACGACCTGAAGAGATTAAGCAATGGAGCAAGTATTGTGGATGCAGAAGATCGAGAACTTTGGTAGAAGCTGCGAAGCGCCTAAATGGCGCGTGAAGCAAAAAAAAAAATACCTACCACAACTAGTCCACAAGTAGACTTTTTTGAAAGCGGGCCTATCTCGCCCAAAGCGGGACGTATTGTCAGTTGTCACGTTATACATGCATGCCTATGAAACGAACTAAGATATATATATATATATATCTTAGTCCGCCTATGCCTACCCAGCAATCAGCAATGTGGGTAGGTACCTATTAGGGTACATAGCAAGCTGTCATAGCTAACTTGATTTATTGTGTAGTTACAGAAGTGTATTTAGCTATGATATAGTTACATTACACAATAATTTCAAATTAATTTTACGGGCTATAACTTATTATAACTAACTAACCTGTTTATCACAAATCTCAACCGCGATGTGCGTTCTCTATAGTAGATAAGTAACCTACATTACTTTCGAGTATTCGAGTATTCGAGTTATTCGACCCAAAAACAAGTCGGTTAACTAAGATTTAAGTTTATGAGATCTCCAGTAACCATAGTTGTCTAGATGCTATATCCGACTAAAATGTCTAAAATGCTGTCTAAATTACTACATCGAAACTCGACGATAAACAAGAATAATACGGTTTAAAAAAAATTCAATACTGTTATCAATATTATTGGCGCCAAATAAACATGTGTGATAAAATTATTATCATTATTCATTGAGACGTTGACCATTGTCTAGTATTAAAGCAATTAAATAATTCTATCAAAAATCAAAATACCTACTTMAAATTTTAATAATTTAAATGTATTTTGGGATCTGAAAGATGTATAGTATCGTGTTCAGTTATTTCGAATTTGTTCAAGTTTTAAAAAGTTCTCGTGAATAATGTTTGAGACTGTTAAATTCAATTAACTTATTCAAAATTTATCTTAAACATGGATTTTTTTTTAAAAAAACCAAGTAATGTTTTAAAACGTCTTGGTTCTACTAATGTTAAAATTGAATCGGAAGGAAATCAATGGTAAGAGCAGTTTTGTATCACCTAAGTATGATTTGAAAATATTGAAACCATAAACACCAAGTTAAAAACCGTAAAAGAGAGATTTTATTTGAGATATGGTGATTAAATTGAGATTGAATGGATTTTATACCCATAACTGTTTCGTACTCATTTAATTTATGAAATTACACATCATTAGTATTTTATTTAAATATATGATAATGAATACTTATTGGCTGCCCAAGTTGATTGCTAAATTTGATCGTATTCATCCAGTTTGATCATGTTTTTAATTAAAATAGGAATGGCAAATAAGTGTTGAAAAATCAAGTTACCCAATAATATTTAAGTACTTTAACCTTCTTGTAATCTTTCCTCTAATTTAGACCTATCTTTTAAATTTAATTGATAACAATTTATAAATTATTAGGTCAATACTTAAAAGGGTGCTTTATGATTTGTTGTATATGACTTATTTGAAGATGGTAGATATGTTGAAAAAAAACATTTAGACCGCCATTGATGAATATTATTCTTTAAAAAACTAATAATAAATTCATAATGTCTAATATCATCATTTATTACTGGAGTATAGGTACTTAATAATTATACAATAACTAAAAAATGTATGAAACTTGTAAAAATACATTAATACACTGTTAAGTTAAATATATTCTTCTTCTTCTTCTGGCATTCCTACTCTCTAAGAGTTTTTGCCGTCATTACTACACTTCACCACCTATCTCTGTCTTGGGCTGTCTCTCTCCAATCTTCAACTCCAAGTGCTTTTAAATCTTCTTCTACCACGTCAATCCATCTTTTCCTAGGCCTACCTCTAGGTCTTTTCCCATGTGGTTTCCATTCCAATGCTACTCTGACTACTTCGTTCTCTCTTCTTCTCACTATGTGACCTAACCATTGTATTCTTTGGCTCTTAATAAAACTTGTTATCGGTGCTAGTTCCAACATATTGTACAGCTCTCTGTTGTACCTCCTCCGCCAATTCCCCGTTGTTTCATCGATGACAGGTCCGCATATTTTCCTCCATACTCTGTGCTCAAAAGTCCTCAGGTTTCTCTCTGTTTGTTTGGTCGTTGTCCAAGCTTCGCAACCATACCATACGTGAGAGTGGGTCTTATAATAGCCACGTGGCACGTACAGTCTTGCTTTCGTTTTCCTAGATAGAATTTTGGATGTAAAGAATTTTGTCAGTGTGTAGAACGTTTTTTGAGCTTTATTTATCCGTATACTTATTTCCTTTGACCAATCATTCTTTGTACTTAAAGTTGCTCCCAGATATTTAAAATCGCTAACTTTTTCGTAGGCTAAATTCTCCGTCTTACTGGGATCCTCCCCACTCTCAATTAGTTCCATTATATATATTACATGTAATAAATATCTTTTAAATACTGATAGACATCACTAGAGTCTAGAAAAATATAATAAAACCATTAAATAGAGAAATATACAAGTGCTGCTACTGTACCTGCTACTCATATATATTATCTTCAATCTTTAAAAATGTGTTATATTAATGATACAATATAGTACAAATCATTGTGATATTAAACACATTATAGTAAATCTAAAATGAAATTTATGTCTGTTTAAATAAAATTAATACCTAATAAGAATTACTTGAAAAAAAAAATTACATGTACAAATTAATTTGTTTCAGTAAACCCAAATCATCTATAGTAAGTTTGATAGACAGCGATGAAGAAAATTTCAAAGTCAAAAAAACTATGTACTGTGATGAAAAAGGTTCGTGAAATTTAATAATTTAGTTAATCAATACTAGATACTATAACACATTAAAATTAATTCACACTCATATAACAAGTGTAGGAACTTATTGATATATTATATAAATTTGTATTTCAATACACAGGTGCATACTCAGAATTTTTGTTTTTATTTTTTGATAGCGGGTGTACAAATGTTCCTATTTTCTTTATATACCATTAAACAATTACACTGAATTTTGGTTTTTTGACAAAGTATGGCTTGTGGGCCCGTGAACTAATTACGTGTATCTAATATAATAATTAAATTTGAAAAAAAATCATTCATAATTGTAACACATTTTAACAATGTGCTATAATAATGAATAATCTAACATAAATATATTTTTTATTATATGAGGTGTTTTACTAAATGCCCTCTCTTCTGGGAGCATCACTGTCTAATGTAAAATATATTATTATTTATTTCTTATTACTTATTTATTACATTTTAAGCCTTTATAATTACATTTATTTTAAATTTTAATGTTCAAACTCCAAGTTACAATGTGTATAATATCCTTGTATATAACCGAGATATAACCTTTAGATTCTTATAAACTTAACTATAATTGTAATATTTAATAATTTGTTGTACTTTTTTGATGAGAATAGTTAGAACTTAGAACTTAATTTATGAAATAAAAAGAGCATATTATGTGATAATTAAAAAATTTATTTTTTGTGTCAGAAATTCCAAAAGATGTTCAAAAGAATAAAATAGATGACAACTGTTATGTTGATGATGATGATGACGACAAAAGCATTATTTTTAGTCCAGAAAAATCAGTATCGGTAAACTCAAATAATGTAAGTAATAAATGTATAGATATTTTTGTACTAAGTTAATTATTATTTATTTTACTATGACCGGATTTCAATAAGTATATTGAAAGATGTTTTGAAAATTCTACTTTTTACCTATCTAATAATATAGTTTTTGTGCAAATTCTATTGAACTATTTGATTACAAATTACAATTTAAAAACAAACACTATATTATTCTACTGTTATATTTGAAATGTTTAATCATATATATATATATATATATATTTTAGATCACCTAATTTTATAAAACATTTAAAAGCCATTTAATCATTTTATTAAATAATTTCATATTGTTTGACATTTAAAAACATACGAAAAATAGTGAATATCATAGAAAAATTTTAATTAATTCATTTACTTTTAGACTTCTAAAGGCAGCAATGACATTAATTTAGATGTATCCAGAAGTCCATCAATATTAACAAAAACCCGATTTTCAACTCCTCAAAAATTAAAAAATAACCTATCACTTTCTACTATTTCAACACTCAATTTTGAAGATGTCAGTAGTGAAAAAACACCAAAAAATAGTGGAGAATTTATTGTTAATACAGGTTTGTGTTTATTTGTTCATTATACATGTGTTTTGTAATTTTCTTCATATTATTTATGTTTTGATTGTAGAAAATCGATCTTCAGAATTGGGAATTTGGCTTAATGATCTAAATAATAATTCTTTATTATGTGAAACAATTTCCGACGTAAGTTTTAATAACATGTTGAGATAATCACTATATTTTATAGAAAAAAATTAAATTAATTGTATTATAAATATAGAAAACATATATTTAATACTAGATATTTTGACATCTAAGTGGTAGTAGTGTGCTGTTAAACTATGTTAAATAATGGAAAAATTGTGTTGATCTAAAATTGGTTTTTTGTTTTTTAGATTCCAATCAATAATTTAGAAAATCATTTGGTGAGCTTGAAAAATTTAGAGTTAGATATGTTAGAGGAGGTGTATAATATAATCTTAAACATATCAGATACTATTGTATGTTCTATTCCTAGTCTCAAAAGCCCTTCAGTTTTGATTGAGCTTAAGAGAATGCGACAAAAAATAAAAAATAAAATAAAAATTGGTAAGATGCGTTTGACAAATGAACCAAAAACATCAAGTAATAAAAATTTGTGCAATCCTGAAAATAAATCCAGAACATCATTCTCAAGCAGATTTGATACATCAACCAATTCTCATCATGAAAAACTAATATCCAATTCCCCAAAATATGGAACAACTAATACTAATAATTCCAAATTAAATACATCGTATAATCAAACTGATGTGGTTAATATTAGTAATACTAATAAATGGTTTGATGGCCATTCAGATTTTCAAGTTAATACTAATAATGATATTTATTCTCGAGAACGTCTAAGCGTGAATGAATTGGAATCTATTGTCAATGGCAAAAATTTTGATGCATATTCTATGTCTGATGTTCAGAGTCATTCAGTTTATGACAACAATCTAAATATGCATAGCAATTATGAGACTAAAAAAATGCCATCCCTGTTTAATTATGAAGAAGGTAATAAATTAATGATGGTTGTATTTTCCAATCATTCTACAATTTTAATTTATTTTTACTTATGTTAGCTAGTTCTTCTGGGAATACTTCTCGTCAAACCCATAACTCTAGTCTGAATAAAACGTCATCCTCAAACATATCAGTTTCTAAAGGAGAGTTCAGCAAAACAAATTATCCTCATTCAAGGGAATTATTTACTGTAAGGTTTATCAACTAAAGTCTTATTACACTGTTTTATATAGTGTATAATATAATACCCCACGGTTTGTATTTTACAGGTATTCAGATCAACTTTTGGTCTCCACGATTTTCGTCCTAATCAATTAGAAACTATTAATGCAGCATTACTTGGCCATGACTGTTTTGTATTGATGCCTACTGGTGGCGGAAAGTCATTATGTTATCAATTGCCTGCAGTAATATCCAAAGGAGTTACACTTGTTATTTCACCTTTGAAATCATTAGTCATTGATCAGACGGAGAAACTGAAATCATTAGATGTAAATATTATTTTAATATTCTAAGTTATTTTTCTAACTATGCTGTATTTAGATTCCAACTGCACATTTGTTGGGTAATATGCCACAAGAAGAAGAAAACTCAATTTTCAAAAAGTTGTGCATGTCTGAACCAGGTAATTGAATTTGCATTATTTATTATTATTAATAATACAATATTACTTACTTAAATTTTGTTTAAAAGGTTTGAAAATGTTGTATGTTACACCAGAAAAAATTGCTGCTAGTATGAAATTAGGACAAATTTTAAACAATTTGCATTGCCGTGGAAAACTAGCTCGTCTAGTTATTGATGAAGCTCATTGTGTTTCTCATTGGGGTCATGACTTTCGGTTTGTATAGTTAATATTATATTGTACTTGGTTGCTTATTAAAAATTAAAATTGATTTTTAGACCAGATTATAAACGTTTGGGAGAATTCAGGAAAAAGTATCCAGATGTTCCAATTATGGCTCTAACTGCTACTGCAACACCTCGTGTCCGTGAAGATGTACTACACCAGTTACAGATCAGTGGAACAAAATTGTAATATAAAGTAGTTTTTAATAACTATTCTTTAAAAAGAACCTAAAAGATACTTTTGTGTGGAAAATCTTGTTTTCTATGTACTATGTATACTGAATTGTTGTTTTCAGATTTTTATCCAGTTTTAATAGGCCCAATTTGCTTTACAAAGTTGTTCCTAAGAAAGGAAAATCTGCTTTGGCGGAAATAGCTATTCTCATCAAAGATAAATATAAAAATCAGTCAGGTATAATTTATTGTTTGTCAAGAAAAGAATGTGATGATACAGCAACTTATATGTGTAATGAAGGGATCAAAGCAATTAGTTATCATGCTGGTCTAACCGATCCTAAACGTAATGATGTTCAAATGAAATGGATCACAAACAAAGTCAATGTACTTACTACTTACTATTTATCTGTTACTAAAATCAAAACTGATTTCATAAATTTCATATTTACTAAAAGTTAGAATTATATAATCATTCTCCAATTTTTTTTTTAGTTGGTTTGTGCCACTATTGCGTTTGGTATGGGGATAGATAAACCAGATGTCCGTTATGTTTTTCATTATTCTCTACCTAAGTCTATAGAAGGTTATTATCAAGAATCTGGGAGAGCTGGACGTGATGGAAAGACCTCTCATTGTTTTCTTTACTATAATTATCAAGATATGCATCGCATTCGGAAACTTATTGAATGCAAGTATTTAATAATCCCCTTTCATTTTAATCTTTTCGTTACTGACTAGGTTTTTAACTTTAAACATTAATTTGATGATTCATGGTAAGTCATTAAATATGCTCCCCTAATTTTTCTTCAATTATACAGCAATTAAAAATTTAATTTTTTAAATTTTTAAATATTCTTAAAGAACGAATTTTCAAATCTTGAGATTTTAGTTTTACACTTAAGTCTAAGGTGTATCTTGTGAAAAACTAATTTCTGTTTTTTCTAATAAAATCCACTTCATACATTATATAACGACTCCTTATGAGTGCGTAACATAGCAAATTTATGCTTACCAGATCACATTTAACTCCGTTAGTTTAAAAATTAGAGTAAATTGACTTATTATGAAACTTGATGGTAAAAACTTTATCTTTGTTTGTATGTGGGTTTTTTTTACGATAACTAAGTCTTTAAGTGAGTTATGAGAATTTTTAATTTACGCTTTTTATATACACATAACACTTGCTACAAAATTGAATTATTCTAAAAATCCCACATACAGATAATGTTCTTAACATCAAGTTTCATAATAAGTCTATAATAGTGATTACATTATAAATCAATAATTATTTTTGACTTTTTTTTAGTGGATGACAGTGGGAATCATGAAACAAAAAAAGTACATATGCAAAATTTGTTCAGGATAGTATCGTACTGCGAAAACAAAGCTGATTGCAGGCGAACTTTACAACTCAACTATTTTGGTGAAACATTTGATGATAATAAATGTATTTCAAACAAAGAAACAGCATGTGATAATTGTCAAAATAAGGTAAATATTGCTTATACCAAAAATTAATAACAATTTGTAGGTACTTATTGATTATAATTAACAATTATAAATATATTTTATGAATATAATTAGGCGGCATTTAAATTTATTGATGTAACTGAAGATAGTATTGAAATAGTAAAAACAATTAAAGAATTATGCGGTTCAGGCGGTGGTAGTTGGAATAATAATTTTACGTTGATTCATATTATTGACATATTTAAAGGCAGTTCAAATCAAAAAATCAAATCACACAGTGAGTTTTATTCTATAATATCAGTTTTAATAATATTATATTTAAAATTATATAATATGTCATATATTTATATTTTGTGATTTAGATCATGATAAATTGAGTTTACATGGGCGTGGAAAACATTGGGATAGATTTGATGCAGAACGTTTAATGCATAAATTAGTTTTAGAAGGTTATTTGAGAGAAGAAATGGTTGCTTCTAAAGTAGATATTATCAATGCCTTTGTCAGAGTTGGTCCAGAAGCAGACAAACTCATTCGAGGATCAATAAAAGTAATTTAAATACTTAAACAACTTAACTCAATTATTCAAGACTTAATTCTTTATGTATTTAAATATATTATTAGTTAAAATTAGCATCGGCTTCAAAGAATAAATTAAATATTGAAACTACAAGTAAAAATTCAAACACACCAGTTAATACCGTTCTTAAAGAAATCCAAGAAAAGTGTTATGAACAACTGATGGACGTTTGCCGTGGGATAGCTGCTTCATTAAATGTGAACACCAATGCTATTATGACGATCCAAGTTAGTAATTATGAATTAATATTTTAAATATCTCCTATACTCTATAGGACCTTTTATTTTTTTATTCTCAACCCTACTTACTCAGTTTGAAAATGTTCATGTACCACTTGACCAAATAACACTTTTTTTTGCTAATCAAAAATGTGTATGGTATTTTATTAGAAACTACAAAATCATGGTAAATGATAATATAATCATTTAATGCTTAAAAAAAGAAAGTGAAATATGTACTATTATTATTAATATAAAATAAACTAAGTTTATGATCCATTCTATATTTGTATGAAGGGAGATTTTCTTAGCATACCACTAGGTATGCGTACCAGTGTACCACAGGTTGAGAAACATGCTCTTACCCTATTAGAATGGTATTAATTATTTTAATATTCAATCAATAGATCACTCGATTTTGTTTGATCCTCAGGTTTCTTTTTTCACTATTTAAAAACTTTTAATTAATGCTTCTATCAGATATTTAACCAAGGTGGTTCTTTGGAAATGTTTGTGTATTATATTCAACTATGGTTTGGATGGCTAAATATTAATATAAAAACGTATTATTTACCTTTCTACAAATTAAGTTGCAATATATTATGAAATTTACAGGCCATTCAAGAGATGTCTCACTCTTTACCAGAAACTGAAGAAGAAATGTTAAAAATTGTAGGAGTGACTAAAGCCAATTTCGACAAATATGGCAGGCAATTGTTAGAAATTACACAGGAAGCAGCTGCAAATAAATTCGGTAAAAATAAATTTTAATCCCTAATTAGGGAGGACTCTATGCTCACTCGGCCCAGTCTTATAAAATATTTGGGTATAAGTATTCAAATACTGCTTAAGTACTCAAATAGTAATTTTTGAGTACTACTATTTTTATCTTTACTGGTAAACTCTATTACTTTGTTTTTAATAAACCATAACCCGTTTTTCTTTTATTTATATCTAAAACACTGCGAGAAAAAAACAAATCAAATTTATTATTTTATTTTATTTTAATACTGTTTATACAAAATTTAATTCATTCTAAAATTAAAATTGAAATTGATATAATAAAAACAATTATTAACTAACAGTTGCTGAATGTGATGAAAATGAACTAAACAATTTTGAAGAGGAAGCAGAAGATTGGCTCAAAACTAGTACGGATTGTCCATATTTTGATGATATGACTACTGGTGTAGTAAACAATAAGAACAAAAGAAAAACATATCATTCAAATAAAGGAGGAAATAAAAGATTTAAAAGAGGAAAGAGTAAAAAGTATGTGTACATGTTAAATAAATACATTTATTATGATTTAATCATATTTTATTACAAAAAATATTATATGTTATATTAAAAATATATTTTTATGAATAATTGTTGATCACACCTTTGGTTCTTTAATATTACGGATTTTATTGATAGCTAAAATGCATGGACATAATTGAATAATTGACGTATAGGCAAGGGCGGCCGTAGACATTTTTTAAAGGGGGGGGGGATATTTTAATTTTTCCTTTTTTTGCAATGTAAAGATTATTTATGATATGAATTATGTGTAGATAGATAAATTTAATCTTACATCCTTCATTTTAATTAATTAAAATGCAATTTTAAATTAAAAAATACCTTTTTCTTAGAAATAAAATATCTCCATTGATTTAATAATTTTAGGTTATTTATAAAATTAAATGTTTCAAGCTTCTTTACAAAAATATGATGTCTGTTAATGCAAAATAACCAAATTATTTTATATTTTGAAAACTTAAGTCTAATAAGGTTAAATATAATTATCATTCGTTAAAGTGTTGCCAATTATAATTTTCAAAATCCTCCAACAAACTTCATTGTCTATAGGCTATATTTAACTAATAAACATGTTGAATTAAAACAAATTTACATGTATATAAGCCATTATTTATTATGATTACTTTTCATTGAAAATTTAGTCCAAAGAAAAAAGGTGCAACATCCTTCATGGCTTCAAAACAGTCTAAAGCCCAAACATCTACTCTAAAATCAACTGTAAAGATGCCACCATCAAATCGGCCAGGATTCCTATCTGCTCCTAAAGTATCTTATTTTTAATATTAATATTTTAATTTTATCTTACACGTGGCATGACTCCTTCATTATAAAATAAACAAATTTTAATGATTAATTTGAATAATATTTTTAATTATATATAGCATATCAGGGTTGATATTTTCTAGGGATATTTTTGTTGCATTATAAGTATTCTTAAGTAATAAATGTTACAAACAATAGTTATAAATTTAAATAGTATTTAATGTAAAAAAACATATCAATATTATTAATTATTATTAATTTAAAAGTGTGGCATGTCTTACTGTATATACTTCAGAATTATAATAAGTTAAATTCAAAAATGAATTTATTGATGAGAAATAATTGTTTAATTATCTCAAATTGATTCCCAACATATTCAATGTAAATGTTCCTGAATAAACATATATAATATGTGAATTTTAATATGCAAGCAATTATACTGTATACTTTGTACATAAATCAATTTTAAGTATTATAATATATTATGTACAATAGATGTAATGAAAATGCTTGTTTTTTTTATTTTTGTAACTCCTCATGAAATTATATCATTGTGTTAAGTGTTTAAACAATATTGTTATTTGTATACTATTTAGTATTTTCTATAATATAATTATTTCATTCTTTGTAGATATATTTTCAGTGATTTGAAATATTCAACAATAATAATTTATGTTTCATTTTTTTTTTTTTTTTTTTTACCAACACCAAGTTACCAAACAATTTCATTTAATTGCTATAGAAGTATAGAACATCATAGGATTAAATTAATAATTTCAAAATTGCGTATTAATTATAATACGTTTTAAGGAATTTGTAGAAAAGTTCAACTGCAGAATTGAAAATCGAAATTAATTTGTACTACTTTAAAAATAACAATGGAATGTGACATCAAAGAATTAAAAAGACAAAAATAGGACAGGTTATATTATATATATATATACATACACATACACACACATACACAAACATTTTTTAATAAAAATGGAAATGTACCTTTATTATAGCTTCAGGGTCATAGGTACAAGATGCTCTTGCAGCTAACTTGATTTAGAAAATAATGTGACTTTTGAAATATAATGCGAAATACTATGATAACGATAGAACGAAGTTATTCTTACACTATACAGCCCACTTCTATCTATACTGTGCTAAGATATTAAACTTTGTTCAAAAGTTCAAAACTCAGGTAAAAAACCGTACTCGATGGCTTGAATTTTCATTTTTCACCAGAATGTTTTGTCACGTTGATGTCAGACGTGCCGTACTATTATGAAACGGGCACTTAAGTCGTCATGTTCCCACCCGGCCACCAGGGCCGTCCAGGGGAATGAGTAAATGACACTGAATAGGACAAATGCCCAAATCGAACGCTATGGCTTAGGCCTAGCCGCCTAGGACACTGTGGTAGTAACTCGGGTAAAATAACCTATAAACTCATGTCTGTGTCTTGCGTGGTACGTATACGATCATACGGCACGGAGATACGGCTGACGCTCGCACTATACAGAGATCTAACCTAACCTTGTGCGGTCGGGTTTATGATGGGAATTGTCGAGATCATAGATAAATTATACCAACTACTAATGGAGCGATTATATCATAATTTTTTTTAAATATATACCTATTGTCTTAATAATCGATTTAACGTATTTAAAATATGATAAACATGCAATATATTATAATATGGATGATAATTACATCCAATCCAACCTATATATAAAAAAAAATATAAGACTATACTTCAGAATTTCAGAGGCCGTCGTATCCACTTGTGTTGTTTTCATCTTGGGTACTATTATACTAACCACTAACGCATATTAATTCGCATATATTTTTTTTATTACATTAAATAAAGTATTACTGACGTAAKTCATCTTAACTTATTGTTGATTATATTATATTTTTTTAAACATTTGCACAATATATAACAATAAGAATAATATTAGTAATAAGATATCGGCTACGTTTCAGTATTTACAACTCAGAGACAAAAAAAAAGTAAATTAATACATAGTAATTATAAAATAAGGTCATATGGGCGTCCAAAAGGTGGGTCACTTAGTCTATACAATATCGCACTGTGAGCAGAATTGATGTGGTCGAAGAAGTTTATTGCTAATTTGTTTATGTACTCAGCTATTGTGGGTAGCTGGATGTCTTTGTGAAATGCATCATTGCGTACAAAATATGGAGCATTAGATATGGTTTTCAGAACTTTTGATTGGAAAATTTGTATTTTGTGTATGAGAGTCTTAGCACAATTTCCCTACAAAGGGGCTGCGTATAGAAGTAACGGTCGCAGGATTTGCTTATATAGAATAAGAGAACATCTATAGCTTAGTGCAGTGTCTCGATTGATCAATGGGTATAGAACTTTTAGCCTTTGGTGGCCTTGTTGTAGTTTTGAGGTGACATGTGGATTCCATGTTAGTTTTTTGTCCAAAATTACACCAAGGTATTTGATATTAAGACATTAGCTAGGTGCCCGAATACCATTATCGTACTACAGTTTTAAGTTACCAGGGGCCTTGGGGCGACGGTTAGTGAAGAGTACCGTTATACTTTTTTGAGGGTTTAATGTTATTTTCCATTTTCTCTCCAGTTTTAAATTGCGTATAAATTAAAATTTACAACCAGCAGTTCTTATTTTGAGTTAATGAGAATTGACCTATAGGTACAATCAAATTTAAATGTAATAATACCATCTGTATTTTATCGTTAGTTTTTTACGATATTTTAATTTTTAATTGAATTACTTAACTTGCCTATGACTATACAAAATATTAATGTTTGAAAATGCTCATACTTCACTTAAAAAATTGAATATTGTAAAAAATCAACGAGAGAACACAGATAATGTTCTTACTTTAGGTTTGATAATAGGTAGTTAACTAAAAGTTAGAAATGCTGAATTTGCATTTTAATGTATTATTATAAATTTATGCGCTAGTATAATACTGAACAACTCTACAACAGCCAACAGGGTACGATTTTCTCTTCATAGTTGGTTTCAGGGCTATAATAATATTTTAATGGTTGTCTTTTCCATTCTCTGTTCTCCGTATTCTGTAGTCGTTAGTGGTTAGTCGTTAATAGTATGTCGTTAGCAAGGACTAAAATCTTGATATATGATTACTGATCATCAGTTATACATATTATAATATTTTAATTGTGCTAATGTGTATAGACTGTATATTGACTTATTATAATAATAATGGAAAAAAATATATAAAATATTACAAAATTCGTAGTTACGCATTTTCTTAAGAGGACGTGATACCCGCATGTGTTGTCTTCGTCGTACAAGTGCGTAGCATAGCAAATTTTACGCTCAGCAGATCACGTTTATCTCCGTTATTTTAAAATTTAGAGTGAATTGACCTATTTTAAAAATTAAAGGCAAGATTATTACCGAGTGCCTCTCATAGGCTTTTTATTATATTTTAATTTTAAGCCGAGTTATGAGTATTTTTAGATATAAAAATTATTTACAATTTTTAAATACTCATTACTCGCTTTAAAATTAAAATATAATAAAAAGCCTATGAGCACTCGGTAATAATCTTGCCTTTAATTTTTATAATAGGTCAATTCACTCTAAATTTTAAAATAACGGAGATAAACGTGATCTGCTGAGCGTAAAATTTGCTATGGTACGCACTTGTACGACGAAGACCACACATGCGGGTGTGGCGTCCTCTACCGTTTCACAGTGGCCAGTGGCCAGTGCCTATGCGCTAATACGATTCTGAAAACACATTAACTTTCATGAATGATGTTATATTTCCACAGTTTTTTGTACAGTGTAGGTACACCGGTACACGTCATAACTTGCCATACTTGTTTTTATGTACAACAATTAAGACATGTGAGTATGTGACTGTTGATTTTAGATTGGAATAAAATTCTCGTGACCCAGCCACGATTTCTCTATACTTAGCGAGAAAATAGCATGACAAGTTCTAATAAGTTTTCATCATAACAATTTAAAAATATTAAATATATATAATATAGGCTGATTTCTTTTTACGAGTAGTTGAAGCTAACATTGTGACCAAAAACCTAATTTATACCTTTTTTTTATAGATATTTTTTTAAGTTCAGATTTAAGTGCAATTTAATATTTAAACGAAAAATAACGGATTTAGTTATTTTATTGTAATTTAAAAATACTTAAAACTTTTAAAGTATACCTATACTATTCTGTTTTTTACACCCAACGGAAATTTAAAATGCAGTAATGTTTTCGGAAAAAATTAATTCAACCTATATTGTATATTACTATAAATTATAGTCTATAATTATAATATAAACTCAAAACTGACCGAAGTTTTCGCTCACAGTGGCGTGTATAGAAAAGGTGTCTTTCAACTCTTCCCCTTCCCGAAATTACATTTCATAAGCGCCACTGTAATCTCTCAGATTAGTTTTTTCGAATAGTTTTACATCGATTTGTATTACAGTTTACAAACAAAATAAATTAAAATATTACGCCACTGACCTAGTGAATAGTGATTCGATGTTAATGATTCTTCAACGGCCTAAAAGTCGAGAGTCGAGACCATTATATGTGTTTCTGATATATATCATCGTGTTCTATGAAATTTTACTTAGTAATTACCTTTTTTTTTAATTCACGGGTAAAAGATATAAAATTTTTATGGGTAAACCATACATTAGAGCTGACGTGCTCAAACTTTTTCATCCCACAGCTCCTTTGTGTCGACGGCTACCTAATTATAAATGACAAAAAATCAATGTTTATAATTAATATGCATGTAAATTATCAATTATATAAATTATTTATTCATCATATGACATAATATACCGTGTGTTCAATTTTAAAGATAACAGGAAATATTTCGAACGCATGGCCTAGGATTTTATTCGGATTTTGTTTACAGGATACAAGACATATAAATACATATTTTTTTGATAAATTTAAAATTTTAGCTTTTTTTTATCTGCGCATACGCAGTAAAATAAAAATTTCTTAAATAGGAACCATTATTTTTGACACTGGATTTGGATTGCTCTATTTTTTTTGAACAACTTTGATTTTTACAGTTTGTTGATATCTTCAAAATTGCCATTTTTTATGACGGTCGAAAGTTTTAAATCAGTTAATTCGTAAATATCGCATTTTCAACACTCTATCTTAATTACACATTTATAGGTATTATTATAACAATTTATTTTTATTAAAACTACAATGTGTATTTATTATTACATTGAATTTATAAAAAAATATCATTATAATTTATTCGTTGAAAAATGCAATACCTATTTACGAATTAACTGATTTAAAACTTTCGACAGTCATAAAAATGGCAATTTGAAGATATCAACAAAATGTAAAGATCAAAGTTGCTCAAAAAAAAAATAGAGCAATCCAAATCCAGTGTTAAAAATAATGGTTCCTATATTTAAGAAATTTTTATTTTACTGCGCATGCGCAGATAAAAAAAGTTAAAAATTTAAATTTATCAAAAAAATATGTATTTATATGTCCTGTATCCTGTAAAAAAACCCAAATCAAATTCAAGGTCATGCGTTCGAAATATTTCCTGTTATCTTTAAAATTGAACACACGGTATATCGTATATGATTATATATTATATGATATGAGTAGGGATGCGACTCCCTTCGATAACTTCTGCGATGACCCTGCAGGGTGCCGCGATGTACAGTTTGAATACTTCTGCATTGGAGAAATCAGTTGAATCAAATTATTAAAAAACATGTTAGCAATCAGCGCGCTATTTATCTTCTCTCTGATGATCCATGTTGAAAATAGTAAATTTAAGTTCAGCAAAGGTAATCTTGAATCTTTTCTTTTAACCCACTGCAACAGGCAATTGGGTGGTTATTTTTTAGTTGTTTTTTTTTTAAACTATAAGAGAGAGTACAGTTGGTTAGGAACACGTGTATATTGTGACGTATGTGTGGAAAAGTTTTTTCCACTAAGAACCTGGGCGGTGATCCATCCGGGAATTGGTGGCAGCGAATAATTACAGCAACCGCACCAATGCACCATTTTGAATATTGTATTGTTAACTTTAATATTAGAGTAACTTGACATATTATCAAACTTAAATCAAAAATCTATGCTTGTACATTGGTTTTCTATGATGTTTAAATTGTCTGCTATATACGAGACTTCGTTGACTCTGCAATGATTTTATGCAATTGTGGAGTTTTGGGAGTAATACAAAAACGTTATGATATCTATTATACTACGACTACCTACCTAATGTGAGAGACTTGGGAGTTGGGACTAATTTACAGTGTTGTACAAATTATTTTAATATTAATATTCAAATTTCAAATACTTTTGAGTATTAAATACTTACGTAATTTAAATACTCTACATCGACAAGTATTCGTGCAATTTTTAAATACCAAGTATATTTTATTATATTGAATACTTTTTATTAGGTAAATATTTGTTTTCTGGCTACTAACTATAATTTTTAAGTCTATAAATATTTGGAAGTTTATTGGAATTATAAATGTCTAAATGGTATTATTAATTTTATGTAACTGTAAAATAATTACCTACCACGTAAACCAAAATTTTATTTTCTATTATAAATAACATAACATATAGGTATTTTAGATACAATCGATTAGGTGCTAAAAATACGAATATGTTTTGGGCGTTCTGGCCTTTTTGGTCGATTTTTGATCGAGTATAATCAAAATCACTCAAAAAAAAAAAAAAAAAAAACGTTTCGATTTTCGATGCACTATTAATTTTATTTGTTTTGAGAAACTATATCAATATGATTCGATTTTTAGAGCAATCCTAGATTGTAAAAGTCCAAAACAATCAGTCATGCCGGCAACATTTTTTTTATAATCCTTTAAAATGTATAACATCATTTATACCAAATTTATATAAGAATTAACATTGAAATTATCAAAAATAATGATAATAATTAGTTCGTTTTTTAGTAAATTATTTAGAAATTTTAGGACATATAAAAGTATTTTATGTATACAGGGTGTACCACAGAGATCTGACATTCTGACAAATGAAATAACTTTTGTTATGATCAATATTTAAAAAAAATGTCTTTTAAATATAATTCATAGACACTTGTGCTACATTTTTAGAATACATTTTTTAATACTGAAAATAAAAAACTTAAAAATTGATAAAATTTTTTTCGAAATATTCAATATAGCCAATTTGTAAATCTGATTTAAAAAAAAAATTATATGGTAAAAACACCTTATAAGGCTGATTTTTTACAATTTTTTTAAATATCAATATTTTCGTTAAGTAAATTACGATCTAGTTTATGTTAGAAACCTTGTAATTTCAAATARTAATAAAGTTTTTTAAAAATATTTTATAAGAACATTTTTAAATAAGTGCATGTCAAAATCTAATTATTTTTTTTTTTGTATTAATTTTAATAATATGTGATGTATAAACTATAAATTACTATAATTTACCTAACGAAAATATTGATATTTAAAAAAATTGTAAAAAATCAGMCWTTTGACTWAAATAAGTGTTTTTACCATATACATTTTTCTAAAAATCATATTTACAAATTGGCTCTATTGAATATTTCGAAAAAAAAGTTATCAATTTTTAAGTTTTTTATTTTCAGTATTAAAAAATAAAAAATGTATTCTAAAAATGTAGCGCAAGTATCTATGGATTATATTTAAAAGACATTTTTAAAAAATATTGATTAGAACAAAAGTTATTTCATTCGTCAAAATGTCAGATCTCTTTGGGACACCCTGTATAAGTGTAACAACTATCACGTTTCTATATTTATATTACTACTTATATTTATGTTACTTTAATTAACAACATAAGGTTTATTTGTTAGGTGATCCGTCTGCTCCGAAGGGCAGGATTGCTTGAAGTCCCCCCCACGACCCCGAACAGGTTGTCTCCCTCCCCTCACAAAGTTGGCTATTTTAGTCCCTGGGGGTTGAAGGCCGATACGTCAGGCGAAAGGAACCACTATAATCAGTGGCACCCAACCCTATTACTAAGTATAGAAATCGCTACACCTTGAAATAAGGATTGGATGGGTAGAAATATGTTCATTATTAACTATCATATTGGTTGGTCCCCATCTACTATTATTATTATATCAATTTATAATATGATATAATGTATAAAATAATATAATTTTGAATTTGTGAGGGGGTGGGTGGTTGTGTAAAATTATTCTTGCTACACCTGAAAAATATATCTTGGGTGCCACTGATTATTATATTATACTTAGGTATGTTACTATAATTTAGCGATACAAATGACGATGAAGAAACTGACATTGTTAATTAATATATGTATAAAATATGTAAAACAATAAATCAAAATTCGATATAGGCGCTGCGTGTGGCGGTAGATACATGACATGTTATGCACAGACGTATAAACGTAAGATCGCAAACTTTAGAAAGCTATAACTTCCAAAATAACAGTTCCCGCAATTTTGTTTTTGATCCTTCGTTCTTTACTCATTGATATACAAATGACTCGACAAAAAAAAAAAATTAAAAAACATGCTGGGTTGCTATAAAGCGAATTTGTTCTAAGATTTATTTCGATGACCAATAACTATACATTTTTTTTAATAATCAAATAATGCGTGTTAAAAATCAGCTAGCTATATCCCTTATAGCCATTTCGGTATATTTCTACTAACTCACTCGGTGCCACTAATTATAATATGATTCTTAGGAGATTTGCCTTCAACTGTTCGGACAATAATAATGAATATATACTATGAAATATAAAGCTTTACGCCTTTACGTAAATATATTTTCAAAACGTCTATAATACTGTTTGACCGTAAAACTTTCACGCCGCGCCGTCGCCCGTCGAGCGAAAAGCCGAAAACGGTTTGGCGCCGCGGACTTTTGACACCCAATCGTAGACTCGGCGGGACAGGGGTGCCAACGGAACGGCGAACGCGTGCAACATGTGTGCCACGGTGTGCTCCGTCTTGTCCCGTATATTATATACAAATACAATTTATTTTACACGCACAATTGTTATAAATTATTTATCTCTGTGGTGTGCGGCGTGTGCGTTATTTTTTGTGCGTGTGTGTGCGTGCGTTCGAGTTTTAAGAGTTAAGAGTTTAAGTCCGTCGTCGGTGTGTTGCGTGACTACGTCTCTCTCGCTCGCACTAGTCTTCCATCACGATATTATTATTGGTAATTTTTACGTGCTCGTCGTGCCGCGCGTTTCGTTGAAAATGGCGTTTTCCACCACCGTGAGACGTGACGAGTGACGTCGAGTGCTGTTCGTCAGATTCGAGTGCGTACCCAGTTGAACCGAGCAGTCCGTCCGCCCAGCGCGCGACGCGTTTTCCGTCCCGTCCGTCACTCACGTTAGGCCCGTCCATCTAGCACGTACGACCCGGCGTTTAACGACAATCAAACATGCTTGGCGCTTAGTGCCCGCCAGTCGTCAGTGGTCAGTCCGTCTCGTGTCAAGTCCAACGCCCGTGACCAGTAAAGTACGGCTGCAAGACTTACGCAACTTCAACGTTCTTATCTCGCAAACGCTCACCGGCCGTTGTTATTATTTTTGTTGTTGTTGTCGTGATCATTCGTCGTTTCTGGGCGAGCACAGCCATGGAAGTCGTCGAAGTTAACGATTACCAGTGCCATTCCGACGGCGAAGAGGTCGTCCTGCTGGACCTGGACAAGGCGAACGGTGCCGAAGACTCACCCGAGGTTCACGAAGTGACCGTCGACGACGCTAGCGGCATGGATGTTATAGAGACGTGCGAAGATGACTCGCAAGATCGCATGGAGATCACCGACGTCGTCATTGAAATAATTCCAAACGAAGAGGGCAGTGCGTCTGTTGATCCTATCACTGATGGTAATGTCTCTGTATCCACTGTGAACAATGTGTCTAACGACCAGACAGCAGATAAGGAAGATGACACTCAAATGATTGTCGATGTGGAAGACAAAGTTATTGAGCCGATGAAGGAAGTAAATGAAATCGAAGAACCCGATAAAAGCAACAACGACATTACATCTGACGTTTCAGGCACTTCTGAATCTGCCACTATGGATAAAGAAGATGCTGTGAAAATTAATGAAGTCAACAATAAACCTATTAAGAGTGTAGTAAATGAAACTAAAAAAGCTGATGGTTCTTTAGTTTTAACAAAAGATAAAGTAACCGTTACAATTCCCCAACATATCGCTGGACGTGATATGGCGTCTTTGTCTGAAGAAACACTCCCTCGTTCTGGAAAACGAATGTTAAAACCTAGATTTGGTGTTAAAGTACCTTACATTCACATGACAAGCCAAATCGTAACCCAAGATGAAATAGCTAAGGAGTTATTTGAAAGATTTCAACAAAAGTATCCAATAACACGTGTTGATAAACCAGACAAACTCTTTCCAATGAAATTATCACACCGACTGTCTAATAACATTTCTGGATCAAAAACTCCAGATGGAAAATCAAAAGACGTAACTAAAAGCCCCAAAAAATTATCGAATATTAAAAATGAATTATTGAATAAAAAAACTGATGTAGACACAAGTAGTAAACCAACAATAAGTAAACCTGATCTTAATAACAAACAAGATGTTAAAGTACCAAGTTCGACACAATCCATAGAAAATAATTTAAACAATATTCAAAGTCCGGATGTTCAGAAATCCAATAATATTTCTAAAGAACCTGTAGAAGTTAACGATTCCAAACATATTGAACAAATTACTAATACCCTTCAAATTTTAGATCAGTCTGCTGATCAACAAGTCAATAATGTGTCTGAAGATAAAAATGATGAAAAAATATCTTCTAATGAAGAGTTAATTGCTATACTCGAAGATTTTGAGACTATTGAAACACCAGATACAAACGGTAACCAAGTTACAGAAGTACCATTGGCAGTGCCGATACCAGCACCAGCACCAACACCTCTAAAACCACCAGTAATTAAAAAGAAAATAATGCGAAGCACTACCAGAACTAAAAGATCTAAACCAAAATTGGACCCAGAGTTAGAAAAGCAAATAGCTTTAAAACAGCTTCAAGAAGTTTCAAGACCAAAAAGATTTGATTCTCTTTATGCTAAAAGAAAAATAGAAATTGATAAGAAATTATTAGCCAAAAATGATCTTGGTTCTGTTTTAAAACGTAAGAAACCAACACCCGATGATGTACCTGAAGTTAAAATAGCTATTGATCAATATATTAAATCATATACAGACAAACGTCAATCAATCATTAAAGTGGAACCAATTTCCAATGATGAGACTGTTAGTGAGAATACTGAAGAAGAAATTGTGCCTGAAATTAAAACTAATGATGTCGTTAAGGCAAGGACAATGAGAGAAATAAATCGTCTTTTGGGTGATGAAGGAGCAATAAATATGATTTATTCTCTTGAAAAAAGAAGATCTCCCGGAAATAATAATGCAAAGAATATTCTTCCCTCAACTAGGCGCAAGAAAAAAGACTTAATGTTGAAAACTAAATTAGTTAAAAATGCCATGCTTAAAATGAGTTCCCCAACTACTGCGTCATTGTCATCTAATCGCCTTGGGCGGCGTTCAGATGTGTGTACTCCATCTATTTCACCTGAGAATAAGTGTACAAGAAAAACTTCTATAGATTCACAAGGTTCTGATCAGTCAATAAAATGTTTGGGAAATTTCTCTGGTAGAAAAACAATTCCAGCTGACGAGTCTAAAATTATCAGAAAACATTCGTCTAGTAGTGAAGCATCTAGTGTTGGTGGTAGCCCAATACTTCCAGTTCCTGAAGCAATACCTATTAATAACTCAACTATTAAACATACACCTGTAAAAGCTTTGAGAGTATATACCCGAAAAAATAAAAACTCCAATGATATACTATTGAATTCAAGTGATCCACCATTGGTTGAAGTAAGCAAAGGAACAAACAAAAGTTTGGCTAAAACCAAGAATTCTAACAACCAAAAAGTTAAAAAACAATTAGTACCAGCATCAACAAAACTTTCAAGTAAATAGAGTTTATGTTTAAAATTTTAAGCTTGAGCTTAAAAATAATTTTTATTTTAATACAGGATCATTAGCAGAAAGCATCAAAAAAGAGGTTGAAGATACTACTTATAATGAAATCACTTTAAGACGTTATGATGGAGTAGTACATATTACATTAACACCAGTTTCAACTGTTATGAAAAATGCTTTAAATATATCAGTAAGTCCTGTTTTTTATGATAGTGTATAATTATGTTGTTAAATATATTTTTTGTTTATTTATATAATGTGTATTTATTAGGTAATGGAAGAATTGATGAAAGAGTTGAATAATTTAGAAAATGATGATACTTGTAAAGTGGTTCTAGTATCTTCGGCTGGCAGAATATTTTGTCAAGGTTTGGATATAGCACCTCTTATACATGATGATCCAGAGAAATGTAAAGAAGCAGCTTTAAACATTTCATCTACTCTTAAGTAATTTTGATTAAAAATTAAATATTCTACGTCTTAGATCTAAAAGCCTATCCCAATACTTTATATTGCATATTTATATCTATGCATTTTATTGTGAAATTTAATATCCATTCAATTAATTTATAATTTCTACATAGGTTGCTAATAATAAGGAAAAGTTCACAAGAAGGGATTTTTATATGGATTTCCAATTATGGGTGTAATTATCTCTTAAATATTTGTATTTTACCTATGTTTCAAATAATTTTATTGTGTGTGGTAAACTTTATTTGTATCGGCTGTTCAATTAGTAGGTATATTCGTATATTTATCATTTGTACTATGTTTAATGAGAGAACATATTGCTACTAAATACATATTACATATTGATGCTGCAAGTGACAGGCACTTGCTCTGTTTACTTAAGTTAAGCATCTAATAATTTGATATTCCTGTTACTAAGTAGGTAGTAACTATTTAAATATTCTCAATATCTAGTATGTACCCTTGACAGATTAATTACAAATTGGTGAGGGGTATAATATTTTAATAGTTATAATAATATAAGAAGACTTAGTTCAACAGAGTACAATTTAACAGATATTGAAATAAAATGTTAGCATTATATATTTTACTTTACTAACCTATCTAATGGTAGCAAATTATCGAATCTTGACTAATTTAGTCCACATATTTCTAGCAGGTCATGGATTATTATTATACATACAAATGTCATCAAAAATAGTTTTACCTTTATAGCGAAATTCCATAATGATGTCTCATACCCCGTCTCATACCAATTCATCTGCTTTTTACAAAGGGACGTAGCGAGGGGGGCAATCGGGGCAGTTGCCCTGGGCTCCGCGATTTTAAAATTATAACAAGGGCCCGCAGTTCTTAAATGATATTTTGTACTGTTCAGAGATTAGTTAGTTTGAATAATATGTAATGTGACTGTTATTTATTTTGCCCGGGGCCTCGCAAATCCTAGCGCCGTTCCTGTTTTCACATTATACTCATAGTGTAGTGGTGAAATGTAAGATGGCTGATGTAATACCAACCTATTTTAGTAGACTTACTGTGCGTTATATTAACAATGGAGTATGGTTATTATTTTTTGCTAACTCGTATGTCTAATTCATAGATCATAGATATTTATATAGAACTAGAATTCATAAATACGTGCAATTGATTCTTTTTTTATATGATATTTAGTTAAACAAATTAATTTTTTTTTTTTAAATATAGTGAAAATTGTAACTTTTTATTCTAATTGGGAATACTGTGATATTTGATGAAGTAAAGTTAATTTGGTTAATACTTATTAAAAATTGGGGTGCAATCACACTTATTTTTTCAGTAAAAATTGCATAATTTTATAAATATTTTAAAACCAAACCCATTTTTTGACCTTTTAGTATTAGTAAATGTAAGTTATAATATAAAATGTAATAATTGTATTTCTTTTTCAACAGAAAATTTATCTCATGCTTAAGTAATTTTCCCAAATTACTTGTAGCTGGTGTGGATGGAGCAGCAGTTGGACTTGGTGCTACTATGCTAGTCCACTTTGACTTGGTTTTTGCTAGTGATAAAGCAACTTTTGAAACACCTTATACACAACTTGGTCATATTGCCGAAGGTGCAGCCACAACTATTTTAGGTAGACTTTTAGTCGCTGAAATGATTATGGGTAGTCAGAGATTAACTGCTGGCCAAGCTCACTATTATGGACTGGTGACCAGAACACTATGGCCAGATCGATTCCACGATGAATTAATACCATTGGTCAAAGCATTAGCTAGACAATCATTACAGGTTAGTTTTATATTTATAAAGTCTTCATACAATTTACTTAAAACATCAAATTTTAAAATAATATTTAGATCAAATGTTTTAAATTCGGATTAATCGATTATTTTAGACATTGATTACATTAAAAATTAGTCTCTTTAAGTACATTTAAGTAGTAGATATAATATAAAAATACAATTAAAATATTTTCAGACTTATTTTACTTCAGTACTTAACAGTGTACATTCTGCTCTATATGATGTTCCATAAAATAACATTTCATATGTTGTACTTTCTTCTCTATCTTTGTGTAAACACAAGTGACCGTATGGACAAGTGCATTTAGTGTATGTTGAGTAGTAGTCTGTTCTTATATATCCACAAAATTCACCAGAATTGCAATCCTTTAACTGAAATGGATACATAGAAAATTAAAATTGAACACATACTTTTATTTATATGCTTTTTTTCATTATTTAGGAGATATTTACTTTTTTGCATTTGAATAAATCTTCAACGTAACTTATATCAGTAGTTTCATTATGTTGATTTTTTTGTTCATGTTTTATCAATGTCCAAGTTGTGTGGTGTGGACAGTTGCAGTGGACTTTGGCTTTTACTTGAACATTGTTATCCTCTTGGCTTTTTATAATGGTTATAGATTCATCAGATTTTGTTGTACAGTCAGGCAGTTCGTTAATGGGTTTACAAAACTAAAATAAATTTGTTTCATTTTAATTTGGTTGATGAATAACATGTATATATGTGATAATTTTAAAAACCTTAAGTTGTGAGCGGTTATCTAACGGCATACTAAGATTATCATTTGTGCTCCACTTCCATGGACATTCCTCACGATTTGGGCATTTACATAAACGTTCAACTTGATTTGGAAACCAAAACCTAAGGTGTACAATATTACATACACTATGTTGTTCACAAATGCCTAAGTCTCGTTCACTTTTATCCTTAACAAAAAAAATATACAGGTACTTAAATGTATTATTCTTTTAATAACCTAGAAAGGAAGAATCAAATTGATAAAAATGTATTTACTTGTCCTGGGTATATGAATACAGCATTATCTGTCTTACTGGATGTAACTGTTGTAAATGTAGATATACAATACACATTGATTACACTTATCAAAGTGTATGCAATATAATTAATCCACATGGTTATTCTGTAATAGTTTCTAAATGAAAAATATTATAATTAAGTGTGGTTTAATAAATGCTACTGTTAATATATAAATAATGTCAAATATTGTTTTTGTTTAGGCAATGATAACTTCTAAAGCTCTTCAAAAACAAGAAACCAAAGAAAAATTGGCAAAGGCATTAGAGTCTGAAACACATATCTTAGTACAGCAATGGACTGGTGATGAATGTCAACAAAACTTACAAGCATACTTGAAAGATGCTGTTGACAACATTAATAACTAATTATATAATGAATTTATAATTTATTTAGTGTTAACTGTGCGGCCTCAAAAGTTAATATTTTTATGGGGTTAAAAAGCTACTCATCGGAAACGCTGTATAGAGATTTAGCTGTTGTTGATAGGTAGCCAATATCTAAATTATAGAGGATTTAGAATAACTTTTATACTCTAATTATTTCCAACTGATCATTTTTATAACTAACAATTGTATTTTATTTTAATTAGGTTTTTTGGTTAGATTATTGATTGTAAGCAATTACTTATAACTATACCTTAGCAATTTTTTATTTTCAACCAATAAAGGGTGCATTTCACTGGCATTTATTATAGAAAAAGACAATATCACGTTTTGGCTCTTTACTTTTCATTGATATTTTATTACATTTTATTTTTTTGAGCACCGGCATTTATAATTTTTTTTTTATATATATAATAATGATTGATGTATATTATTTTAAAATAACAATACAAAACTTTAATTATGGTACTCCTATTTTGTTTAGGTGTATTTATTTAAAATGTTTAAGTTTGAACTACTTTAGTATACAATTTATGTTATTTTCTCATACATTATTTATTGTTATAATCTCTGTTCTATATTGATTTAATTTTTTGATTTTAGGGGAAAAAAGCAAAATACTATTGTTGATGTACATTATATTGCAAAAAAATCTCATTTTTTTTCTAAATTCTAAATTATTTTAATGTTACAATATAATGAGATGTGCAATTCATGTTAAAATAAAGTTAATTTACTTTGTTTATTGATTTACCTTATTAATTTATTTTATTACTGACTGGACTACTAAATCTTTATCAATAGAACAACATAGACAATGTAATTTTTATTGTAATATGTTAATTTTTCATGTTGTTAGTTTTATGATGTTAGTAAATAAATTGTAATGCAACTATCCTATTAAATTCGGCTATACTTATGATACCTAATGGTATTTTTAATTTTTAATCTTGAAGATAATATAATACATATGAATTGTACTTTGTGTTAATGTACAATCTAAAATACGATAATATTGCATAAACTAAATATTTGAGACTAATATTGATTTATGTGACTTTTTTTTAGACTTTAATATTATATTATTATTTAATCTTAATATATATGCGATATGCATATTATGTATTATCAGATTAAAAAGTGATCACTATATCATGTTAAATATTTAATTATTAAAAAAATTATGGGTCGGATTTTTATTTAGTAAATATATGGAAATTTCTATTTTTGTTAAAAATATGATAAAAGATGTTAAATAAATTGCATTCGATTTTAATAAAATAAACTACTTATGGGCAATATTCATAAGAGTGAAAATAATACTTAATATATTTGTATTCTCAGAATAAAATGTATACACGTGTAAATTATATCACAGTTCTAAAAGAAAAATGTTGTTTTTTATTTTAAAAAAAGAATCCAGTTAGATAAATACTAAATAAGAACTGTATCAATTTTTAACTTTCTAATCTGAATTAATTTTAAATAATAAAAAATTTTGTTATTTCTTCTTTTTGAGAATAATTTATATTATATTTACCTATATCTGTTTACAAATGTAATAATTATAAATTATTATAATCAAATATGGTTAATGTTTCCTCTAAATAAAGACTACAATGTATTAACAAAGAATAACAAAATTTACTTTTCATTGTCATAACCCAATCAAAACGCGTCAAAAATGATTATGGATACTATTAAAAAAATATATATATAAACCAGTGATTTGACAAACTATTACAATTTAAGTTTATAGCGGTTAATAGGCATACAACTAAGAAGAGGGATATTATGGGAACTTAACATTTAATTTTTTGCATTGCTTTTGCTTAGCTATAAAATACTGAATTGATATTGACATTACTAAATTGACAATTTTTTTTAATTTTAAGTATAAAACATACATTTAAACTAAAATGTAGGTTGTGTAGGTAGTAGATACTGATTTTAACTAAAAAAAATAACAATACTTACATATTGTATTAGATTGTGTTATAATGTTATATGGTTATGAACATAGGTTCCCAAATTTTGATTTTTACCCGTTAATTACCAAAAAAATAAAATTCATTACTTTTATATTTAAATTGAAAATGTATAAATAGTCAGCTGGGAAATAATGTTACACAAGTTATAAACTACTGTAACGAAATTACTTCTGCAGTAATGCTGTAATAATTTTATATTTTATTAGGGTATAGGGTAATTGAAAAAAATTAAGAAACAATTTATTCATATAACAATTTTAAAAGGTTTAGATGATGATCAACAAATCTATTAAAGATCCCAGAAATTAATATGTATACATTTTGTATAACATTAAGACATTAAGTCATCAACAATGTACCTACATTATTGTTAATAAAATAGTATAACATTATACCATTATTCATTAGTTATTGCTTATTACTATTTAAAATTTATTTATCGTTAAGGACTAATTTGCCAAAAAAAATGAAAAATTTTGGTTTTGTGATATTTCAAACAAATGTGTGTATAGTGTGTACTCACTAGTTAGTAGTATTAGGTAAGTACCGACAAATTCGAAAATGTCATAAATTCGACAGTAAACTGATATGTAACAGGCGAACGGCTAATATAGTGTTGTTGGAGCGACACAATCGATTTAAGAAGTGCACCGTTTGCCGATGCAGTCTAGTAAAAAACCTAAGACGCGATGTATTATTTAAGTTGTGAGTATGACTATCATCGATGATAACAAATAACGCACTTATAATATATTATTATTATTTATTACATAAGTACACGTTTAACGTTAWATCATTTAATTCGTCTTAGATAAAACAAAATGTTATTATTATTTATTATTATTATAATTTTTATAAATCTGTGATCTGTCTTGAAGAAAAAAAAAATATAATATTCTTATTGCCCACCCAAATTACGATTGTCTATCGCACAAGCTGTTCTTTGTTACCAGTTACAACCACAGCAGCTGCTGCTGCACCCTGTTGCTTTCTGGTATAAATTATGTATGGCCGTGGTTACCACATTATTCTGCGTTGTTGTTACCACGATTGAAGATCGCCGAGGTTACCAGAATCTTCTTGCAAGATTGTTGTAGCATACCTACGTCATAACATGTTATTATGTATCAAAATATAATATTATACAATCGATTCACCTTGCTGTCTTATCTTATGATCTAAGACTGCCAAAATAATACCAATGGCTATTTGTTAACAACGGAAAAAACAAAAACAAAAGAGTATGGGAATACAACAAAACAATTACAGACTACAAAAAAATGATCTATACTTACGACGAGAATCCTAATTTGAAATTTTTAATCCTTATAGGTATGTAAAATATACATAATATGAATTTGTACCTAACTAAAATATAATTAGCAAATTATTGTGATTTCGATAAATTGTATTAACTTTTGAACTTCAAATGTCTGTAAAAATAAATCTTGCATAATATGTATTCTTAATAGTTTTCAACTGAAACCGTTTTTATCGGCAATAATTAAAAATAATAATGTAACATTTCTCGTGCCTATAAATAGCTTAAAAAGAGTTTATACATTTTGAAAATTTTATCGTGTACATATTATAGACAATTATAAGTACATTAATGTAAACATTTGGTAAAAAATCCCAACTAAAAAAAAAATTGAGTTACAACGAAAACATAAAATTGATTTTGTCATTGACTGGTTTTGTGTAAAATTCCCGCTTTTTCTTCATTTATTTTTTGTTTTCCCAGTCGTTATTGAAAACTTCGAAAATGTTCAATTTTGACATTTCGAACGCATCGATTAAATTACTTGAAACATGTGCCCAGAGAATGCAGATATTGACATCGGCGAGAGTCAAGAGACATCCTGTGATCATATTATAATAAGAATAATTTATTACTATTATTATAGCATAGAGGAATTTAAAGTGTTTTTCCATAGCCACGCATAAGTAGTTCTATATTTTTAGTGGGTATGGAGGATTGGAGGATAATGAATAGATTTAAGTTTTAACTCGATAAAATGTTCTTTTTGAATTAATTCGCAAGAGATTATTGTAATTATTTAAATGCATTTTAACGATTTTCATCTAAGGTTTGGATATGCTTCAGGCTATATGCCCGTGACAACTTAATATAGGTATACGCCTTGCGTGTATTCGGCCTTGATCAATATTTTGTTATTAATATAAACTGCAGATGTGTATTATACTAAGACACTTAGACACCTAAGTGGATAATATATCGTGTCAATTAGGCATTGTGACTTGGAAAACCTTAAAATCTTTAAGGTGACAAAACATGGCTAGTGTCGCAATATATTCACTACGATAATAACAAATTATTTATTTAGCTGATTTATAAAACCAACATCATATATTAAATTATCTACATAAATACGCTTATTCTATAATAATATATAGGCACCTACGCATAAAAGTCAAACAAAAGCGTTAATTTAAGAAATTTGGTCAATTTTTTGAAAATATAAAATCATTTAAATATTTATATAAATATAGTTATTATTTATTGCTGTTTTTCCGGTACACCATAAGTCCATAACACATTATATTATCCTACAACATAAGATGGCTACATTTTTGTAGAAATACGAGTAGGGCGTAGGTAATATTAAAACAGAAATATGTTAGGTTAGGAAATTACACATATTTATTTTTTATGCATATAAAAAAAATGGTTATAGTTTTTATACATTGATGTTATAACTATAAAGCACTTTGTGGTGGTATCTTTTAACGTTACATAACCGTCCTTAAGCTGATAAACCTACAGCTACCTACCTACTATAAACAAATATAGGTACATCATGATAAATTATTAGTATGTACTTATAGTAATGTACTTAATGATGTACAGAATACATGTATATGATATATATATATACAATGTATATGAAGTAGGAACATAGGTTTTATCATAGATACGGGTTGCTGACTCCTTCCCGTTTGGTAGTGTTTTTTTTCTGTTGCAGGTCTGTTTTTTTTTTTTAGTTTGATCTATTTCATATTTAACATATCATCATAATATATTATACATAATTTTTATTTTTTATTTAGCTGTCTCGTTGTCACGCTGTGTAAAACTTATGTACCTACCTTCCATTTATACAGTCCATTTTCAAGAGATATATTTGACATTTTTTAATGCTAATTATAGTATAATTTATAAAGAATTATTAAATAAATTATTAACAGGTACGGTCTATAAATGTGATAAAGGTCGTGCGCTATAACTTTTAATATAGATACAAATTGTGCCACCTTTATATAAGTAATGTTATAAACAGGACTTTTGGATCGATAAGGTCCAAAACGTTAGTTTTTCTTTCGCTGATACAAGTTGTAATATTTAAATCAAGGTTAGGTTAGTTGTTAGTTTGGGAAAAAAATATTTAAAAATAACTCGAGTAGTTGTGCATAATCCTGCGTGTTATTATATTTATTTTTTAAGTATTTTTAAATAGCTATGGTAATAAATTACGAGGAACCTTGAATAACATTTTTTGCTCAATTAAAACATTTAGTTAAAGTTATATAATTTTTTCTTTGACTGTGTGATTTTTTCTTTCTTTCTGACTTTTTAGTTATTTAAGACACAAAAAAAGTACAAAATGGAGTATTTAAAAAAAATGTATGGTTTATTTTAGATTACTAAACATATAATTAATACAAGTAATTAGGTAGTAGACTACCTGGTTATAGTAAATTACTGTTTTACAATAGTTAATAACCATTTAATACTTTACTATGTCATTGTTGCATTGAACATTAAAATTTATAATAATTAATATTTACCATAAATTTTAATATTTATAAACACTTTTTTCTAAATACAATTATTCATTTTAATTAACATATAATATAATAAGTTAAMTTCCACCTTTGCATGCACATAAAACTCCCTATAAGATCAATATAAATTATAAGTCAAATTCATTAATATTTTACAATTAATTATGCCTACTATAAATATTTTATTAAGTATTGACCGATTTAGCTTCCAAGGAAGTTATATAGGTACAATATTAATTGTATTATAATAATTTAATAAGAATATACGGTAAGTTCTTAAAGTTCACATAATATGCTTTGAGTAAAGTATACACATTTAATGAAAGCACCCAAAATGGCAAAATTATAATTAATGTAATAATATTCTTATTTTTATGGTTTAGAACTTATTTTATGAGTGAATTAAATTTAAAATTTTAATATAAAAATTTGTTTTATGTCTATCGTAATTGACTTTTGTGAATTGTGTATTATAAAGACGCACACATTTTATCGTTGAACATCACTTATATCGTTTTATGTTTATAACAGTTTTTTTTTTATTGATTTTAGTATTTTACATTATAACATCCTCAGCAGCGGTCGTTAGTTGTGATATTGATTACAATTTTTTATTGTATAAATGAAAAATAGTTTGTAACAAATAATATGCATTAAATATCTTCATTGTGCATAATGTTCTACATCTATAATGCCATCCATAATTATGTTGAGACTTTGAGTAGTTTCTGAGTGCTTTTATGCTGTCATATATATATCTCACGTGTGTCTCTATCAATAAATTTTGATTTTAGAAAAATTGTTATTACCTATTATTACCAATACACTTATAAAGCCACAATTATTATAGTTATAATAAAGTTTTTGTAAAAATGTTTCCATGATAATTTTCTCAACGATGCAGTGACGTATTTAGGGGGGGGGGGGCTAGAGGGGGCGATCGCCCCGGGCGGAATTTTTATAGGGGCAGCATTAGATTTTTACATAACCCATCTTCTGTTAATGAAAATGAAAATGAAAAATATGTGAATTTTAAATATTTATTGTTTTGTAATTATAGTTGATAATAACTATAAACCTATTTTATATTAAATATTTAAATGTGATTAATTTATAAGGATAACATAATGTTTCAAGTTTGAAATCTGCTTTTTTTTCTAACTTTTGTTCTAAAAAGGATAACGATAACGGGTTGTCACCGGAAAGTAAGCTCCAACGCGCTCGGTAGGTTGAAAAAGTCAACAAAAAATTGTGTGTGTGTGTGTGGGGGGGGGGAACATTAGCGTATCCGGGCGCCAAATTTCTGAGTACGTCTCTGCAACGATGTAACACAATATCAATTTAAACAGCAAAGTTATGTAAATATTTCAAAAGTGAAATGATAAATTTAAATTTCTTCGAAATTCAAATAGTTGCAGCATTAAAATTTTTGCAGGAGCTGGCGAGTGCAGATGAGTAGTGTGAAATATATATTTATACATAGTTGCGATGAGAGACAATTAGCTGAGAACACAGCCACTCGGGTACTTTTATGCATATTATTATATCTATTATTATGTTTGGTATGTAGGTATAATGACTGTTCATGAGGAAAAACACAACGTGACACGCCTTATAACTATGTATCTATGACGTCTATGTATAAGTACCCAGATGGCCAGATGACAGATATCATGTTATTATGTATATAATATTATTATTTACGTTCTCGTATCACTAACATATGATCAAATTTCGTTTTGCCAAGTAGACAAAAGTAAAAATTACATTTACTCAGCAATTTGTTTGCCTTCATATTTCGTCCTGTTGATCCGTCTACTCCAGCTATAGGTTTAACCTGAAAAAAACGATAAATGTTTGTATTATTTATACGTTTTGTTTCCAATACATACATAAATATACTCAATATTATATAATTTTTATATTGTATACATATAATACATAATATCTTTGATTAAATTAGTTTAAACATAATAATATACTTGACAAATGGTTGAAAGAAACATACACTTAGATGCATACCTAGTTTATACAAACTCAATCTATGTATATAGATAATAGATATATTATATTATATTGTTTTAMCGGAGCGGAAATTTGCTCAATGATGTTCATATGTATGTATGTATGTATATGTGTGTTTGTGGGGGGAGGTAATGTAATTTGAGTATATGTAAATTCACAGCTTATACAAGCGGCGCCTAAGATCCAACGATCCAAGTACCTAAGTACAAAATAATTTGACTAGGGCCCGGATGTTTATATGAACCTAAAACTACTGTAATAATAAGCATGCATGTATGCACTAAAAAATGACAAAATATGCAATCAATATGAGATGACAATATATTGTGTGCTAAAAATTATAAAATATGTATTTTTAATAAATAAAAACATGCAAAACAGATTTACTATAATTCATTAAAGAACATGAATTAAATTTGCATCCTAGTTAGCATTAAATGGGATGAATAGAAAAAAATATGCAATTTCATAAACATCTGATCGCTAATTATGACAATTTTTGGTTTTTATATAAAAGCTCACTTGCGTTTCGTCTTCGGACACCCACGTTCGGTTTTCACCGTCGACTGCTCTACTCCTGCTCGCGCCGCGGGTAATCGGCGTCCCCGTCGCTGCAGCCGCTGGTGCAGCCACCCCTAAGCCTGCGACTCCAGGGCCAAAGAGCCCAGACAGCCCGGTGCCCAATAACCCCGTCGTGCCCAACAGCCCTGTACCCAATATGCCGTTGACGCCACCCAATATGGACGGAACGGCTCCATAACCGAAACCACCACCGGTCCCGTAACCTCCATTCTGTAGACCTCCATATCCAAGACCACCGAATCCGGGCCCGCTTCCGAATCCACCACCACCGCCGCCGAATCCATTACTATAGCCGATCCCGTTGGCATACCCGTGGCCGAAAAAGGGTCCGCCGAAAAATGACTTCAGCGTCGGTATAAGTAGTATTAATAGCGCATGAAGCAGAAACGCCAGGAATGCCAGTACCGATATAAATGTTGACGGTTCTAGGCCAAAACCTAAACTGTAAAAAAAGTAATATGTATATTAAGCATTAAATAATTATATTTGAATAAAAAATAGAATATTATGATCAAAGAATAGTGTTTGTAATACTATATACATAATATATTATTATATAAGCTAACGCAGTGACGTAGCCAGGATTTTTCTTTGGAGGTGGTCGATCAAGTTTTACACAGAAGTGGTTTACCTTTATAGGTTCTTCCATAAGTTTAACATGTAGAAAAAAAATAAAAATAGCGATGAATTTTCTTTTTATATTTTAAAAATACAATTTAAGATGTTTTTAGCGACTTTCATAGACCATTAAAATAATTTTTAAATTTTCTAAACATTTCTAGGGAGGGGGGTGCAGCCCTCTCAGACTTCCCCCTGGCTACGCCACTGAGCTAGCGCTATAATGAAATTGTTTTTTTTTTGTCACACTATTTTTGTCGACTATAACCCAAGAATGGCGTTTATTTTTTTATTTTTAAAAATATAACAATAATTTCAAAAGGTTTTTTTTTCATTAATTTGTTAATATTTTAATGTATTGTAATTGTTGAGTTAGATTTATTAATAAAGGCTAATTAAAATAAAAACCAATAGGTTCACAATTGTTTGGATTATTCATTTAAAGTTATATTAATTTAAGTATTAAAATTATTAATTAACGGTGTATCAATTTAGTAGTAATCAGATTTCTTACTGTTCATTTTACATAAATTATAAACAACAAATAGGTACATTATAATAAGTTAATATAATATGCTTGAGCACATAATGCTAATATATGTATTATATAGTGCAAAACAAGCTTTGTTTTAATTTTAACTACCTAGTTGACTTTGTCGATTAATGGCATGAGTTGTTGAATATATACTTTTATTTCTACTAGTACCTTATATTATAATACATATTACATTTTAATATCCTAACTGCTTCAACATCAATACTGTTTATTCTAAACATAGTACATATAGGTACCTATATAGTGTCTGTTATTGTGTCGATAAAGGTAATAAAAATAATAATAATATTACATCGCATGGACGAAAGTATGTTGTTATAAAAAAAAAAAAAAAATAGTGTTGCATAAGTATTTTTATAATTTATTTTATATGAAATAAATATTTTATTTATCTATACAAATTATTCAACGAAGCAAAAATTAATTGAAAATTACTATATTATTATTATTTGGACGTTTTATAGAATATATGTATACAATTATTACTTACCCATTGCCTCTTGATGGCTGATAATCGTCAATACCATAAGACCTTTCCATGTTCACAACTGCATCTGTGACTAGTGAGTATAGTGTTTACTTTTGAATGTTTCCCGTTTATTTATAATCCATTTGAAAATTATCCTGCATCCAAGAACCTCTGACTAGTTGTCGTATTTCCGTTACTTTTAGCCGTAGAACCGTATCGGAGGAGGATGTCAAAAACAAGAAACGTTAAGTATGTGCATTTCAACATTTGATAATCAAAATTCAAAACTGTCACAATTTGATCATATAATAATATCAAACAATTACACTGTATAAAACCGTAACGGTTCAGATGACTCAATTATAATGTTATATTACTTCTGCAACAATTAGATATAAATACTTTGAAATATAGATCACTTGGTTAATGGTTTAAGGTATGTGTAGGTACTTATAACACGTTAACTGTAATATTTTGTACATATAATAATAATAATTATATGCATTTCAAAAATATAATTAACACATAATTATATGAACTACAGCCTGCGCATGTACTCAATGTAAGTCAATATAGATTTAACTATTTAAGGTTTCAAGGATACCTATTAAATAAGCTCTTAGCTGTTATTTGTAAGCTTTCACTGAACAATTGTGAGGTGAACTTTTCAAGCTGTATGACATATAAATACAAAGTTATTGTGTAATATTTTTACTTTTTAGTGTTTTATTTAGTGATATTCTTACAGAGTTAAAATATAAAATATATTATTTTTATTTAAATACAATACCATAAAATTCAGACTTTTATTGTAGTGACAAACTTATATCAATGGTACTTATACATGTTTATGTAATATTATTATTATATGTAAATCGATCTTACAGTAGATTTCTTTAGTTGATTACCAAAATATGATATTTTTTTTATTAAAAAGTATAATATATTCACAATCTGTGATAGCACAATAAGTAAATCTGATAATTTATTTATTTACAATAACTAACATAAATAATATGAAAAGGGAGGCCAACCAGTGCTGGAATCCAACGTGAAATTATTTTTGATTTGTTTTAGATTAGCAAATCTCTGTAGTAATTTCTCTTGAGCCTATGGCTGGGATTAATGCGGGTTGAGTGTTTGATGAGATTTTCGACACTTATGGGTTAGTATGGGCAGGTAGTTTGGAATAGAAAGATCTGTAGTGTATTGTGGCTAATTGGTTGACTGATTCAATTTTTAGGTCATAGTGCAGTGTAGAGTTGGATACAAACCTGCAGGGTGTAGACATTATCATACGAAKAGTAATGAATTGGAATACTTGCATGGTACGAATTTGGCACAGCCTCAGATTTGGAATGCATATGCCGATATTATAGTTGCAAGAGAGATTTATACGTAATAATAGCTTGGTGTGTATTGGGGTTTTTCTTTTTAGTTTTAGGTGCAGGCCCCAAGTTAGTCTTTTATCGAGCATAATGCCGAGATATTTCACGTTTGGAGAAGATGGAATTTGAGAACCTTGAGAGTAAACAGGTAGAGGTTCTTTTTAAAGTGAATGATACATAATATCACCACTTTCACCACTTGGACTTGGTTGCCCTGCAGTTGTCAATGGAATTTAAGTGTATTTGTAGACTGTTGGATGTTTCGTCAGGGTCAATATGAAAATTAAATATTTAATTGAAAATCGAGATTAATACAGCACCTATTATAACCATGTTGTTTCTCGGGCAAAGATTTTGATTTGACTACGCGGTCGCCTGTAGGGTTAAACCACAAACCACGGTAGTGTTTGTGCAATAATGCAGTATGCCCGAGTATATTTTCGTAATATCATTTATAACATTCAATACTTTTTACCTGAACATTACAGAAATATTTATGAGCATSAGATGTCGGTGAAAAATAATTGGTATTAATTAATTATTATTATACAATAACTGCATAATATTATATAATAAAATACATATTTATTATTTATATATAATTATAAATTATATATATAAAAAATTACATGTTATGTAGTTACATATTACGCATATATTTTTATAGAGCAATTTGGTAGATGAAAATAGGTTAAAAGTCATCCAAAAATTCATAATTATTACATGTACGCAGGTACCTAAGTGTCGAAGGTGTAATTTGCAATTTTGCTACTAAAAAAAAATCACGTGATCTATTATACACACAGTCAGCTCTACTCTCCACTGGTCATCAATATTAATAGTAGAAACGAAGAAATACGTGTAGGTATCATATATTCAGTGTAATATATTATTTTATTTTATTGTTAGTTTCTGTAGACGAACATTAATGGCCTGCAATCGCAGTCCGCAGAGAAATAATGTCTTTTATGTGCCTGTGCACTTTGTATACACAATTTCAGTAGGTATTTCAGATAAATATTATCTATACATGCAAGTAGGTATTGATTGACAGTAATTAATAATTATAATGATTTTAAACTGTTATACCTAATATTGAACATTTCTCTGTCAATCTAATACATACGTATAGGTTAGGGACTTAGGGAATACAGTCTATCTGCTGTTTATAAAAATATATTGTACAATGTACATATCAAAGTAAGTTATCTGTTTACGTTTAATTATAAAAAACAAAAGGTGAACATTGATAAGCTAAAACGTAGAAATTGAGCTAGGTAAAAATTTTATTTTTATTTTTAACTTTTTTTCATCAACTAGTTGATTAGTTTTCTAATAAATTTATACATTTCATCAAAAAAAATTTTTTTTAAAAAAAAACGAATTCATTAAATAATCTAAGTAGAAACTAGAAACTGGAAACGTTAAACAAATACCATTTTTCTTAGAACTGAACAATTTTAAAACATATTTTTTGTATTTTTTACACTTTAAATATCTATATATTCTACAGCCATATAAACATGCAGTCTTAGTGACATTGTATGCTTTTTATTGGACCATTAATATATGAACCATTATTTTTTTTTTAGTTAACTCGGTGGGGCATTATGAGCACACTAATCCAAACTCTATAGTCCGGATCAAGTAGCCGGGGCACTCGCGTGTGTGTAACACTTTTCAGACTTCTATGACGATGGTTTACTTTGCTATGTAAACAGCCGTTTGGCTTACATGCCACTAACCAGGAGTGAGCCTATGACTGGAGAATTTGGAGAAGTGATATTATGTGTATTTGTGTGACCGAGATCACTGGCTTAACCTTCTCTAACCGAGTGGTGATCGACCTGCATGGCTGCATATATAATATAATAAATATACAGATTGAAACCGTCACGGAGTAGAACCGTAGAACAGACAATCATTTCTTCTAAAATTAACCATAATGGACGTGCGGTAGATCACTAGTATTGATATATTAAGCTGTGCCATGTAGGTGGTAAATTATAATCGCATGTATAATATAATAAAATTGCAATAAGATCATAAAGACCAGTGCAATGTAGCAGATTGGTTAAAAATTTTTTCGGATAATGATATAAGATGACCTATACATTATTAGGTTATAAATTATATTATTTAAAAATGCAATAAAATATGCACTTAAAATGCAAAATATGCACTTAAAATGTAAAAAAGGAATATAAAATGCCAAAAATTATAGTGTAAAGTTCATTTAAAATGGTTTTAAAATTTAATTTTTATATTTATATTAATATTAGGTACAGGATATTAAACATTAGTACAAAAAAATGTTTATTTAATAAAAAAGTTGATTTAATCTGAATTAAGTAAATGTTATGCATCTGAAACATTAATAAAAATTTTTTTTGTATTTATTTTGTTAAAATAATAAAACAATAAATTTGACGTAATATATGTATACAGCCTATGTAAACTAAAAAAAAATGTTTTCAAACAAGTCAATTGGCTGAATTTGGTTAAAAATACTAGAAAATGAACTAAAAAAGCAAAATATGACCTAAAAATGTGAAATATGACCTAAAAATTAAAAACGTCAAAAAATGCAAAATAAAAGTTTCATAGATGGATTCGTAATTACATAATTCAAATTATGTACTTACAAAGCTGTGTTTTACAATCATAAAAAAAAAATGCACTTTCCTATAAATTTACAGCCCTGGTTATAATGAATTCTGCATTAAATTATATAACTTCAAAGCGTTTGGTAATAGTTTAACAAATTATTCTATAATTCAATCTGGCGAGGTACTTATTCATGTCAGTTATTGCTTTATCCTACCTACTAATCATATTTAGAGTTTAATGGCTTTTTTTTCATAAAAATAACGTAGCAAATTGTACGTTCAGAATAAATAATCTKTTTAATTATGTTATGTTTAATATAATTTACTATAACCTGTTATCAAATTTAGAAATAAAAATATTAGTGAATCACGTAGGTTTCTTAATATTTTAATTTTAAAGTGAATTATAAATCATAGTGCGCTCATTTTAAATTGCTCAAATAAAACGGATTATTCAGAAGTCAGAATTTACTATTTTGTTGTGTATGCGCATTTGTAAAACAGAGACATATTCTTAATTAATATTCTTCTTTTCCTCCTTATAACTGTGACTGTATTACACAGACAAATAAAAAATTTAATATTCTCTACGAGTACCTAGTCATATTATTTCTATTCGTGTACCTTTAATTGTTATCATAAAGTTCTTCGTTATCATTCATTAAAATACGTTATAGAATACAGTCAATGTTCTTTCGGCTGCTGCCTCGGTGTGTGCCGAATGTGGATGGTAGGCTATTACCGGCCCAAAAGGATAGGTACAACTATTTGGTTGTCCGCAGTATACAAATATGGATTATTTTTATAGTTGCATAAACAATATTGTACGAACCCTAGCTATGCGTATAGTACAATGTACGTCGAATATTCGAAGTAAGTACATCATAAAACGATAAAACAACGTCTGCTATAAAAAGATTTCGTAGGATTTTCTCGATTCCACATGAATTGTTATCAAGATAAAGAAACGGCTTGTATACTGCCAGGTTAGTACTGCTTAAGTTATATTCTTAAATTTGGACAATTATAGTAAGAATTATTGTTATTGTAATGGGTCAATTTCATCACAAAATATAAAAATATGTCAATATAATAACTATAATAATAAGTAATACTATGGGTATTTTAGGGGTCTAGGACATCTCGCCGCCACCATCTCGCCATCCACCGTTTCGCCGACGGAAATTTAAAATTTCAAAATATGTTTTCCCAAAGATTTTCATAAATGATTAATCAAAACATTTAAAACYAATGTATAACAYGGTRGTGTAGTTTTTCACTGATCATCTTAGCTTATATGTATAGGACTTATAGGTAGGTAGGTATCTACAATTAAAAATAAATTGAATAATTCGAATTTGTAGAAAAACTGTGCTCCTTAATTTTTTGTTAATAATTTTGGACTTAGTGCAAACATTTTTCCCGATCATAAAGTTTAAAAGTTCAAATTTTGACACAGTTCGTCAAAAMAACACAATTATATTGTAGTTAAYAATTCATACAATTATTTTCAATTTTAATAGCTACGGCTTGAAATTGAAATAGGTTWCTTTTATATTGTTATTATTACAGAAATTTAAAATTATAATCATATCGAATATCTACACAATATATAAATAGACAATTTTTATAGGAATTTTATATCCAAATTCCTATTAAATTGGTTATAACCATTTTCCAATCTCTCAAACTGTTCTGATTAAAGGTCCTTCTCAACATTAATAAGGATTAAAAATCGCTATCGCGATTAACAGGATTGTTTTAACACTTTTGGCATTTTTTACTCAACACCGAAAAAGAAAATTACAGAAAAATTGATCATAAAGATACTATACTATAAATATTTATAACCAATGAAATAATTAATAAATTTGCTTGTACAAAATTCCGCCATCATAAAAAAAGTACTAATATTTGATATATTGTTAGATTTTTGTACATTTAAATTTTGTCATATTTTTATGACCAGTTATAAATATTTCGGATATTTTAAATTTTAATTGTGATTTTTTTTTTTTATAAAGAGTATTATTAATGATATACCTACGTTACTGTATTCTTTTATAAATTTTACTTATACAAATACTATTCTAATAATTAATGGCGCAATAGGTTGATATTGCAGGGATGGGAGCGGGAAAAATTAGTAGCTTGGTAGGTTATAGGTAGGTAATATTAAGCTTTTACTATAGTATTTTCTATTTATATATTGTGTAGATATTCGATATGATTATAATTTTAAATTTCTGTAATAAGAACAATATAAAAGAAACCTATTTCAATTTCAAGCCGTAGCTATTAAAATTGAAAATAATTGTATGAATTGTTAACTACAATATAATTGTGTTTTTTTGACGAACTGTGTCAAAATTTGAACTTTTAAACTTTATGATCGGGAAAAATGTTTGCCACTAAGTCCAAAATTAYTAACAAAAAATTAAGGAGCACAGTTTTTCTACAAATTCGAATTATTCAATTTATTTTTAATTGTAGATACCTACCTATACCTATAAGTCCTATACATATAACTTTATAATATATTTCCTGTAGGCATAACCCACACGTTTTATGACTTTTAAGTGTAGAATGCATACGGTATTTACAATAAATATATTATCTAAACGCAAATAGTATATTTAAAATAAATACTTTTGTATGATATTCGATTATATTTTATAATACATTATACATTTTAAGTTAGTTCACGAAATGTCAAAAGATATGCTGAAAATGTATAGGTGTAGACTGTAGGTACATACTACGCATAGTTGAGCAGTTCAATCGTAAAATTTTGTATTATATTTAATGTAAGGACGTGAGAAACCTACCAATATTTTCATATTTCATTACGTCATGGTCGCATTACGCATAGTCGCAATAATTACATTAACGTTATTATATGTACCCAGTTATAGTTATAACTATTTTATAGGTATACAGAGGAATTCACCAATCATAATTACAACCATTTTTTCTTTGGTAGCTAATGCATTTTTAAATATTTAATCAAACACCATATTTTAAAATTCTTGATTTTGTTTTTACTATTATACTTAAGCAGTGTCCCGTGGCAATACAGATTTCTGTTTTTCAATTAAGAACCTTACTTTTCGTAAATAAATCATTTAATGGATAATTTTATTAAATATTTTGATGTACACTTATGATGTCATAATCCCTCAATTCTTTAAATGTTTATGCATAGCAATAGGTAAAGATAAATAGTCCAAAAAATAAAAAAATAATGTAAAATTGGATCTAGACATCTAGTGTTCATTTTATACTAGATAATTTTTATAAAATTTTTAATATTGATAAATTAATATTAATCTATACAATTTTCAAATCATTCATGTGTCTTCAAATACGGCATTTATCATGGACTTATCATAGAATTATCCTTATAGTTAATAATTACGAATTTACAAAATTAAATAACTCAAAAATATTATTTTAATTTTGATTCTGATACGTCAACTTCAGAAAAATGATTCATTAAATAATTTATAATGAAGCCCCCCCCCCTCCTTCAAGTTACAAGTTTTCATTTGAAAAACAGGAGTTAATATTATTATCTGCATAGCTAGGGCACTCTTCAAGGAGAACAACAAATCTAAAGAATTTGGAAATATGATTATTAATAATATTTAAAAATTCCAAAAATTTGATTCCGAATAACTGTATGTTTGCATTATTGAAAAAGAAAAAGGTTGTGGGTCATACTATATGAATCACTCTGTATATCATATTAAAATATGTGTGGTCGTCGACGCCACCACTGCGACACCACTCTATTAAGCTTAGATAAGAAAACTAATGATTTTTTTTGGAGATGGAATTTTTCGCCACCATTTTGTGCGTACCTACCTATACATACTCAGCAGCACCAAAACAATATGTAATTTGCACCACATCTATAAATATTAATGTTAGTAATCTGCGTCAATTTCCAATTTAAATTGTTGAAATTTAACTGATAAATTTACCGAGCTCACATCAGTTATATAGCATATTATAAAACGTGAATAAATAACTACATAAACTACTAATGACATAAACAATCGGATTATGAATTAAAATATTTCTGATTTTTTATTTATTAAATAAATAGGTGTATATACCTATTTAATAAGAGAGGATACTCCCAAAAGTTCATATGTTCAAATAATCTATCGGAAAAACGATTTCATTAGTGCATTACGTTTACGTTTAATAGTTTAAAATATCAGATGAATTATTATATTATAACTACCTATAAAGTCCTACCTAATTCATTTGTTATACTTTACGATGCGGCCCAAACTTGTATATTAAATAATTTAAAAATAGGCGAAAGATGTAACCCTCAATTCCCTAAAATGAGTAATGAAGCCCCCATTGGTGTACGCAGAGCGGGGTTAACTGGCTGTAGCCCCCTTCCCCCATTGACCATATTATTCATTATGGGCGGTCAGTAATCAGGCTACATTTTATCTACCTGCTTCGTATAAAATATTTGTTTACATTTTACTACAACACTACCCAGATATTAGGCGACAGATTAAATATATATTTTTAAAGTGTACCCGGAGATTGGGCCATAATCATAAATATACAGCATACAAATATACGAATATAATACCTATAACGGTCATTAACTGATTACTATTATTTTCTTTTAAAATACATAAAAACAACAATAATTATATTTAAATTTCGCTCTACGAAGATTTCAAAAATTTAATATAGTATAAGAACAATAAAATTAGTCAAATAATAATTATTATAATTTTTTTTTTCTTATAAGTAAATTATAATAATACGATCTTTTACCACTTTAGTCTACACATATAGGACTACTATGTTTCTATATGACTACAGACTAAGAAAGAATCTACTTTATTTCTATAACCTTATTTTGTGGCGACAGATTGGTTTTTTATTTTCAATACCCTCCCCTAATTGAAAAGTCCTGAGTACGCTACTGGACATCCCTGATTCACTGATTCAGTGATGAAATAGGTAAAGGAATGTCGTGATTTGGGGGGGGGAGCTTGCCACCCGCTCACTTGGCTGCATTACGGAATACTAATTTTCAGTCAGCTGTTGGCAAGCATTTGTTAATATTTAAAAATCTACTCGGTGAGGTATTTTAAAGACTACATCCAGAATCATCCCTACCTTAAATTCATGGTCACTAGAATGTTATTCTGAGACAAGAGAAAATGAAAAAAATATATAAAAATGGAAGTTGTGTTGTTTCACACAGATAGCGCTACAAATATCTATAGCAGAGGTATTCAAACTTTTTCAGCACGTGACTCCTTTGGGCGTTCACAATATTTTTACGGCTCCTAAGTCCTCAATACTTATGAAAAAATTGAAACAACACACGAATACAATATGGGAAATATGTTATACCTATGGGCATTGATTAAATATATTTGTATATTAATAACAGTGACTTTAGTACTAGAAATAAAATTTCGAATGGTCGAATCGTAAGGTGCTGTGTCGTTTTCATTTCCATAATGATTCAAATAATAATTATAATAATCATACAAGACCTAGTTATGATGTTGGTTTTCACTGTTTTCAGTGCTTTGACGCGGTTCCCTTTGCAAACTCTCGCGACGCCCCTGGGAGCCGCGACGCACAGTTTGAATACCTCTGTGATCTATAATATACCGAATACCCATCTGTAGTTTCACATATATAATATTAATTATTTATATCTCCACACCACTCCACTAGTCTGTGTTACTATTGTGATACTATACAAGTATATTCTTATCAATTTTTATCACCGTGATTTGGAGAACGTCGATTACTGATATGTGATAACAGTTATCTTTTGTTTTTTATTTTTCGACTACGTCTATTATTGTTTATTATTGTTCTAAGACTAGAACAGTTGTACTACAATCAGACAAGTCAATCAGACATCAATAATTATTTCAGTATTAAGTATTCGCTATCGCTATCGCCATTCAGTATTTCAGACGCTTCTGTCCGTCGTTGTGGTCGTCGTCGTCTTCGTCGTTGTTTTAACATCCCAGTGTTGCGTCCGCTCGACTGGGATTTACTAATATTGTTATTGTCTATACTTTCACTTTTTTGTTCGTTTTTCGTTCTCTATTGAAAGAGAGAGAGACAGAAGAAAACAAACAAAAATACGTTTCAATGGTGATCTAAACACTGTTGCATTGAGCAATTGAACCTCCTGACGTGCTGTGCATACGTTCCGGGGTAATTATTTTTCGCACAATATTTCACTAACATCGCAATTTGGATTTTTACAGCCTCAGACCTTCGCATCTGTCTCGATATTATAATAAACACAATATTTTTGAATTAAATGACTGGACTATTTCTTAATCAGTCTAATTCTTTTACTTATTAAGCAGGCGAGTATGAATATATAATAAATATTGATGCTTATAAATAATTTTTGTTCATTATTTTATTCTGAAAAATCTTGAGAGTTAAATTTATCATTTAATTTGATTTTTTTCCACTTAATTATTGTACACTCATATTGAATATATTTTTTTTTAGTTTTGAAAAATTTATTTCTTTACACATATATTATTTTCACCGTTTCCCTGCATTCATTTGAATTAAAACTTATAGGTAGATACTTAAGTATTCAGTAAGGGGGTATACAGTATTTAAGTAAAATGTTATAATAATCTTACATGTTTAAAAAAAAAAAAAAATTCTGGACTAATTAAATTAATTATTATTAATTTTACTTACAATTTAAGAACACCAATGTCACTATATTATATTTAATTTATCATCAATTCGTTTGTATTATTTAATTGAATTTCTAGCATAATTCATATGGCATATTTATAACGTCATGTACATGTTAGGCCAATTGTTTTTCCTTAACCAAATTAATTTGCATAGTATTAAATCTAGTTGTCGATTGTTAATAATTTAAAATTCTGTTTGTTGTAAAGTACATAACATACAGGTGACCTATTTTATGGTAATATAATATTATGCTCTACCTACTGTTTTCAGTTTTTATGGATTACACATTTACCTACTTAGGTTTGCTTTTTATTATCTTGAGTTATTTCTTATTGTAGGTATATGTCACTATTGTCTACTTGACTGACCAGTTTATTCCTAAAAAAGTTTAAGTTTTTTCCATGTAATGTAGGAGTAAACTATATCCCTATTAGGTACTATATATATATATGTAGTTTGATTATTGTCCAAAGAGAATTAAAAGAACAGATAAACCATGCTTGAAAAAAATAATTGGTAGCTTTCAAAAGTCACTTAAATTTTGCTTCATTAAAATCATTGTGTGTTTAATATCTTTAGAATTATTTATTATTTTTTTTTGATAAGTACCTACATTTTAAATATTTTTGCTTTTTATTCTTCAATTCATTCAGTAACAGCTTAAGTAATACCTTAAAATTAGTTTATGCATTTAAAACTTCTTTTTTTTTTTATTTTTTTTTTCAGAATATGAATACCATTCTGATATATATATATATATATATATATATAATATATTTATAAAATAGGTAGTATACTTAATGATTTTAAGGGCTTGAGTAGTTAAAAATATAATTTCATTAATGTTCATTCTATTTTTTAGTTAATTAAGAATAAATTATGTATTGCATAATATAGGAGGCATATTATACTATAACATTAGTGATTAGTCTGATATGTTAAATATTCAGTATTCACCTATTTTGTTTGTATAATTATGTAACTGCTTATGTAAAAATAAAATATTATTTAAATGAAAAATAAAAAAATATTAACATTATAAGCAAGGTTTTATTCTTATATGCTATATAAGTTAATAAAAAAAATTAGAAAGATTAAACCCCCAACAACAAATATGTTTGCTTACAAATTGAAAGTATTTATTTTTTCATTTTTGAGGAAGTAAAATTATTTACATAATATACTCAGATCGACTATAAACAGAAAAAACCTTGATAAAACTACAAGGCTAGTGTATTAGGCAAGCTAAATCAAATTCAAGTTAGGTTCATCTGGCTTGAGTTGTTTACCTTGCTTTTATTGTTAAAAGATGAATTCTTTATATATACCTACATCTAATTATACTTAATTTAATTAGACAATAAGATGTGACAATAACATCGCGTTATGAAGAATATTTAATGACTAATTCATTTTTGTGGATGGATAAATTCTTGATTGATTTAATTATTAAATAACTATAGTTGGAAATACAACATAAATAATAATTGTATATTTATGCTTTTAATAATACTTCAATTAATTATAAATATTTCCTTTTTAGATTTTTAAGTATCATGGCTGAAGCCCACTCGGCAGTTGCATTTTCATTTTCAATTACCCATGAAGGTTGGGATGTAAATTTTGATCGTGAAGTGCTCCATTTAGTTTGGGCATCTGGAATTCGTTCTTGGAAAAAGCGTTTAGCCAGATTTAAAGTATGTATAATATTTTAATATTTTTTACAAAGATATAAATTGTGTTTAAGATTACAATTTCAGACATTATCCCTTTTAATATTGAAATTGTTTTTAAAAATTTTAGAATAATGTACGCAATGGAATTTTTCCAGCCCCATTGCAAAGTCTTTGGGCTATGATGGGTATTGTGCTTGCTCTTCGTTATGCTAATAATACTTTTATTAGGTATACAGACATTATATTACAATATTTACCTGGGTAAGTGAATTATAATTTGTATTGTTTAATTGAGTAAAATTTTAAATTATATGTTTCTTATTTTTAGGACATCCTACGTATGGCAAATAGTATCTTGTTTTATTTTATCTTTAACTTTTTGGCTAATATTAATTTATATAGTAAGGTACACGTTTAAGCTCATGTTAATGTATAAAGGTAATTATTTAAAATAATATTTTGAAATATAACAATAATATTATCATACATATATTAATATATTATTTATGTGTTTCCTTATTCAGGATGGATGTATGAAAGCAGAGGAGGACATAAGGTATCCTTACAAACCAAACTTTGGGGCTTAGGTATAAAATTACTTTCTTCAAAAAGTAAACCATTACTATACAGCTATCAAGGTTCATTGCCAAAACTTCCACTGCCTCCAGTTAATGAAACTATGAAAAGAGTAATTATTTTAAATAACTAATAAGTATTATCACATTTAATTCTTTTGCTATTATTTTTAATATTACCTATATTTTATTACAGTATTTAAAAAGTGTCCGCCCATTAATGAATGATTCAGAATATGAAAGTATGGTAAAGCTAGCCAATGAATTTGAAAAAGGTATAGCAGTGAAGCTTCAGCGATATCTGTGGTTGAAATCATGGTATTTATTTTATATTTATTTATCTTAAATGATATGAGTCATTTAAATAATATTTTTATTACTAACTTATTTAAATTATGATTTATTGAATTTTCTTATCTTTTAGCTGTACATTTAAGTAGTTAAATCATTTTATAATTATATAATAATTGTTTTATAACCATTACGAAAGATTTTATAAATGACCTTAATCATATTTGATACCATTATTACCATTATAATAAAAAGATGGTTAAATCAAAATATAAATGAGTAGCAAATGATTGATACTCATCTATGTATGTTTAGCTCAGTTTATGTTAGTCTTTAATTGTTCTTCATAATTCAAAAGCAATGATAAATCGTTGTTTTTTCAAAGAGTGTAATGTGTCTTAAAATGATCAAGAATTTTGTTAAAATTAGATTTTTTATTTATTTTTTTTTTAATACTGGGAAGACCGAAATATTTTAATTTTAATTTGTATTTAATGTTTAATTGTTCATCGAGAAAATTGTATGAACAATTCATTTGTCTTCCATAAACAATATTGATTATTGTTATAAAATATACACATTATCATAATTTGTTTTATATATATAGAAATATAATTAAGGGGATTAGGTAGTGGCGCACAGTTATTTTAGCTAAAACATACCAATCTTTTGTCTATCATACTGACTGACCTAGTAATGGGATAATACTTTTTAAGACTGATTTTAATTTGTTATTATGTCTATTTAAAATCAGTTGTTTTCTTTTCGTAATTGATGTTCTCTTACCAAAAAAGAAAAAAAGAAAAGCGTTTTCTAGAACTTTTGAGCCCTGTTGATAATTAATAACTAATAAGTAATAAGTAATAAATTTTACCTTTATTTTACTAATAATCTTATTCACCATGTTCAAAAAAACACAATGATTTTCAATTTATATTTTATTAACACTCCATATTTTATTTTATGTTTTACTTTTTTTTTAAATTTATTAATCTCATTTATATACTATTTTTTATCCATTCCATTCACCATTGTAACAATTATGTTTGATTTTTACACTGTCATATAGGCAACCCGGTAGACGGGCAGTTCACTTTGAATAAAGTTGTTTCTTTCTATCATCTAATTTTTTTTTAAACATATATTATTGATTTATTGAGAATGATTTTATGTATTAACAAAAAATTCTACATATAGATAAACCTGTAATATTTTTTTACGAAAAAGCACCAATAACACAAAATAAATATTAACCATAAAAGTTATTTATATTTTTTTATACTTTAAAGGTAAAAATTATTTAAAATGCTACTCATCCAATTCAGTTCCAAGAAGATATTGCATTACAAAAATTTAAATATTATCTGTTAGACATTTTTAACTATGTACGTCATAGTATGCAGGGTATGCTGCTGAATAGTCTGTAGCTTCACATGAGGGGTCCATGTTTATTGTTTATCATACCAAAGCATTTTTTATAATATCTTATATATTTTTTATCTAAAAAAATGTTTTAGTTTTAAATTTTCTAATGACTAGCAAGATAATCCAAACTATAAATTTAACAACTTTATAAATATGTTAAAATTATTTAAAGATATTCAATATTATAGTATATTATTATACTTAATCTTTAAGAAATAATACATTTTCTTTTAATAAATATAATCAAAATTTCAAACTACTTGCATCATTAATGCATTTTTGATATTCTATTATAAAATTGTGTGTGGTTTTAGATTTTGAGGGAAGCAAAGAAGCCAAGTAGTATATTTGAAAAAAATTTGATTGTAGATTAAGTCTTATATGTTGTAAAAGAAAATGTTTAATGGCACAGAATCGTTTTTTAGATGAATTATTTGTTCTTTTTTTTAAATTCAATAAAATTATGTTGAATATCTTAGGTGCAATATAGGTTAGGTGATTTTAGATTCTGAGCGGAGCGATAAATGTATTGATTTTACCATGATGTGTGTGTGTTTTTTTTTGTGTCTGTCATCACATTTTGAGGCAGTAAAAATGCTTTGAGTTTTGACTTCAGTACCTCATTCGATCAGAAAGTGAATCTAGTTGGTACTTTGGGGGGTCAAAAGTAAAAAATACTTTTCTAAATAATCGAGAAAAACAAACTAAAAATTAAGGGAAAAACGGGAAATTTTACGCACACTCATTTTTCAACAAAATCGGTTTTGGTTTTTGATGAAACTTTAAAACAAATGACCATAGATACATGAAATTTTCACCGAATGTTTATATAAGTATATTCTATCCACCATGTAACAATTGCAGTTAAAAAATATTAAAAATTCATAGGCACGATTTTTTTTTTATAAGCATTTAAAGTTCAAATTTTGACTAAATACGTAAAAATTACGGCAATGTTCAAATTATCTTAGATAGGATTTCATAAAAGTTTTTCTTTTTAATTCTAAGATTTGAAAATTTAATACAAAGCTCCTAACATATTTTTACAATAGCAGTTGCAAAATAAAAGGAATACATAGTCACAATTTTTTTTTTACAAGCATTCAAAGTTTGAATTTTGACAACATATGTAAAAATCACGAAAATTCGCAAATTATTTCAAACTAGAAATTCATAAAAATTTTTTTTTGTGAAGATTTGAAAATTTAATAAAAGGCTCATAATATATTTTTACAATAAAAATTGAAAAATAAAATAAATGCGTAGTCACAATTTTTTTTTTACAAGCATTCAAAGTTTGAATTTTGACAACATATGTAAAAATCACGAAAATCACGAAAATCACGAAAATTCGCAAATTATTTCAAACTAGAAATTCATAAAAATTTTTTTTTGTGAAGATTTGAAAATTTTTAATAATCTATAATATATCCTAGAGTCCTAGACAGATAAATCGTCTTCGCTCAGAATCGTTTTTTGTATACAATGTTATAATATCATTGGATTCAAATTTAATTCCATCCATTACAGTAACCAACTTGTAACCTACTGTACAGCAGTACAATACACGACTTACCCACTTTTTTTTTTTGAAGGTCCCTATTTTTCTTATTGCATAACCTGCGAATAAAGACTGCACATGCCTATGATGTAGGTACTTTAACTTAAATTAATATTATAATTTTATTCTTGTTATGATTGTTATTTTGTGTGATAGATTTTCTGGTTATAATAGGGAAAATATATCTGTCTTAAATTATCATATTTTTATCTATGATCAAATATTAATTAATTATAAAAAATAAAACATAAACTATTGATTTTAACAGGTGGTCGAGTAATTATGTATCAGATTGGTGGGAAGAATATGTGTATTTAAGAAGTCGAACACCTTTAATAGTAAATTCAAATTTTTATGGTACTGATGCTATAATGTTACATTCAACATCTATTCAAGCTGCACGAGCTGCCATGATAATTTGGCAGTGTTTACAGTATAGAAGACTGATTGAACGTCAAGAACTTGAACCGGTATTAAAAAATGTTCCTCATAAAAATATAATGAAATATAGTATATTTAATAATGTTTATTGTTTATACTATGTAGATACGAGTTCAAGGATTGGTTCCTTTGTGTTCATGGCAATATGAAAGGATATTCAATACAACACGTGTTCCTGGTGCTGTGAGTGATAAGATTGTTCACTACAATGATAGTAGACACATTGTAGTATATCATGCTGGACGGTATTTTAAAGTGATGATCTATAGCCAAAACCGTATACTTCATCCTTGTGAAATTGAGGAGTAAATATTTTTTTTTGTATTTAATTTTTATGATAATATTCTAAAAAAATGTATACATATTCAATAATTTAGACAAATACAATCGATTCTCGATAACACAGAGAAACCATATGTTGGAGAAGAAAAGGTAGCTGCTTTAACTGCTGCTGATCGTACACATTGGGCAAATACGCGCACTCAATATTTTTTTAAGGGCATAAACAGACAAAGCTTAGATGCTATTGAGAAAGCTGCATTTGTGGTTACATTAGATGAGGTTCCATATGAGTATGACCCTGTAAGTAGTTAATGTTAATTGACTAATGAGGTTTTATTAATTTTGTGAGATGAGGTAATATATTATATAATATTATTATATCTTTTTAAATTGGTAAAGGTTTATTATTTTATCTATGTATGCTTAATGCGTATAGTTTATCTAATATTACTAAATATCATTTTTATTTAGGAAAATTCAAAAAAATTGGATGAATTTGGAAGAATATTAATGACTGGCAAAGGATATGACCGTTGGTTTGATAAATCATTTACTTTATGTATTGGATCAAATGGAAGAGTAATGTTTATTCATGAATATATTACATTATAAAAAAATAATAATGTTTTGAGTTTATATAATTTAATTTTCATAACTTTTCTAGGTGGGCTTCAATGCTGAGCATTCGTGGTGAGTGTTTCATAGTATTATTATTTGATCAGAAATTGAAATGTGTATGTTTGTATCATGATTTGTAAATGTTTGAATTAAACGTTTATTGTTTAATTAAAATTTCAAATATTGTTTTGAATTTGCATTTAACAAGCGTTGTTACAGGGCTGACGCCGCAGTTATGTCTCATCTTTGGGAGTTCATCATTTTTGATGAAGCAAAAAAATCTGGGTAACTTAATAGGTTACAGTTTCACTGTAAAATAGCTTAAATTTTTTTGTTTAATATTTTATAATTTTGCTTGCTGGGAATATTTACATAATTGTTTTTTAAGGAATGGTACTTCTTTGAAGAAACAACATTAATCCATTCTTATTCATGGTAAATTAAAAACGCATGTCATCATAATTATTTTATCATAACTACAAATTCAAAACATACTTGAACTATCATAATGATTTCATTGATTTATCTAAATATTGTGGCTTAGATAAACAATAAATAAGACAGCTTCTTATTAATTTTATTACTTAGTTGGTTATTGTTTTCATTGATGACAGGGCAGATGCACCGGTTATGGGTCATTTATGGGAACATTTTCTATGCGGCGATCTAGTTGTGGGGTAATAATCCATTATCATTTACTAATTTGTGCTCACATTGATCATTTGTAGGAAGCCATCCAAATACATAATTATTATGTCAATTATTTGAATAATGTGGTTGTTCTCTTTTTATTTTTAACTATTATTTTCATCTGAGAGTAAAATCAGATATTAAGTCAGTATCAGTATATTGATTATTATTGACTGTTGTGAATCATCATTACTCATTAATCATAATATAAATTAGTATTAAGCTAATTTAAAAAACAAACATAAAATATTATTATGTATTGTTTTATATAACATTTGTTATACTTGGCTTATAATTTGATGATGGATGGGTTCCTTTATTCTTGATAAAATTTGAAAATAATTATGGATTATGGTTAAATATCATAGGTACATCGTTGCATTCAGACAATATTAAACATCATGCATGTTAAATGTTTTACACAGTACATATTTTAAATATTTACCACAATGAATATATTAAGACTATTGTATTGATACAATCAATTAATGGTATTAATTTTCTGAAACATTAAGATATCAAGAAAATGGACACACAAAAGGTACTCCTGAATTGGAACCACCAAAACCTATAAGGCTTCAATGGAATTTGGAACCAGTGTTAGAAGCTATTGAAAAATCATATCAAGTAACATTTTTACATATTTTGTTTAGGGAGGTTATTGAATTGTATATTATGAATATTTATTGCTATTTTAGATCTCATTAGCCTTAGTAAATGATATTGATCTTCGTATTTTGGCATTCAATGATTATGGCAAGGGATTCATGAAAACTGCTAGAGTCAGTCCAGATGCTTTTATTCAGATGGCACTCCAACTGGCATATTACAGAGTAATTTATAATTATTTTTTGAAAAAAAAAAATAATACTAAAATAATATATTGTTACACAAATTTAACAAAATATTTTGATTTTTATGTTTACAGGACGCTGGTAAGTTTAGTCTAACATATGAAGCATCGATGACCAGATTGTACAGGGAAGGTAGAACCGAAACTGTGAGACCCTGTACTCTAGAATCTTCAGCTTGGGTAAAATCAATGTTGGATCCAAATGTTGATGTTAGTTGTTATCTGTTGATATATATAAATAAAATTTCTACATTCAAATATTTAAATTTCTAATTTATATATAGATGAATAAACGTATTACTCTATTGAGAGAAGCATGTGCAACTCACCAAAGAGGTTATCAAGATGCAATGTGTGGAAAAGGAATTGACAGACATTTGTTTTGTTTATATGTGGTTTCCAAGTATTTAGAAGTCGAATCTCCATTCTTAAATGTAAATAAAACTTAAAATCATTGTACTATTGGTGTTGAAATATTAAAGTTTTTTTAAACATAATATTTGTATCTTGCGTCTTACAATATATGCATGTGATAATTTTTGTAGATGTGTTTAAAGAACAAAATAATTTTTTTTTATGTCTCCAAGGAATACAATGTCTAAATTTAATAAACTGTGAAATATTTGTTAATATTTAAATTAATTAATAATATTTTTTGTTTATTTATTATAGAAAGTATTAAGTGAACCATGGAGGTTGTCAACTTCACAAACACCACATGGACAGACTACACAGTTTGACTTGAGAAAATTTCCTAATTGCATTTCTGCTGGTGGTGGATTTGGCCCTGTAGCCAATGATGGATATGGTGTTAGTTACATAATAGCTGGAGAAAATCTGGTTTTCTTCCACATATCGAGCAAAAAAAGTTCTCCCCACACTGTATGTTAAAATATTTTTCAACTATTAGTTTTGTTTTTAATCACATTGTGCTGTTATATAGGATTCAAATAGGTTTGCTGTTCGTATTAAGGAGGCGCTTAATGACATGAAATCACTATATGATGATTGGAACAAAAGTACAAAAAAACTAAGCTCATAATATGACTATTGACTGCATAGTATATTATTCTATTTTGATTCAACCATGGTATTGTTGTATATTCATAATATTTTTTTGGTATTTAGTCCTATGGTTAATTTTTATGAACTTCAACATAATCTCAAATCTGTATTATTGTCAGTAACAAGTATTTTATTTTTAAATAATATTTTTGTTTGTTGATTATATTGTTTTTGTGATTTGGTGGTATTTTTTTTAACTATTGGAGGAAAAAAATAATTTTATATTTTAATTTTGTTCAATACATTTTTAACATTTACGAGTTGTTAAATTTACTATTTTTTATGTTTAAAATTTTAAATGTAAAATATTCATAATTTATAAAATCTCGATAAAAAAAAATGATATTTTGTTTTGTATTCAATTAGTGTTTTTATTTTTTCATTAAAATTAAAAATATAAATGAATAACCATACTTGTAATATTATCTTGAGCTTGAGTGTTCATATCTCAGATAAATGGTATGTGTACATTTTAGATTAGGAAAAATTATTTTTTAATTTGTTTTAATTAGATAAATTAGTCTAATATTTATAAGGTAAAACACAGTGTTAAATATTATAACTATCAGTCATAGTCGGCACTAAAAATGCTTGTTCTAAATGGTTTGAACAAACATATTTTACTTATTAGCTTTAAGACAACGAATATCATGAATATTGATATTATAATTGCTATATGGAATAAATGTTATTTATCTTACTCATTTGTGTATGTATTTACTACTTATCCATACGTTTTATGAATTATTAGTATTAAAATTATTTTCAAACAAAGAAAGTTTGAAGATCCTGATATAAATTTTTATACATAAATCATCTAACAGCTGAATCAGTCCTATAATTATGAATAACGCGATTCTTACAGGTTACATAATTGATCAGTTGATAGATAACAAAAGATCATTGCGATAAATTTCAAATGGCCTATTTTAACATTGGAAATTGACCTTACCTAGTAAATGTATTACTTATTAATCATTATAAATTCTGGTTTGAACATTGTTCGTTGTGTAGCATGTGAAAAGGTTTCGGCATAATATTTTTACCGAATACATAAAAAAATATTCTTCTACCTTTAAGGTACCCACTGTCTAAATTATGTCTCCAAACATGCATTATGTATTTAAATTTAAATATATTAATTAAGTAAATTAATAGGTAAATAATAAGTGATKATAGGTATAATGTTCATCTCTTGGATCATGTTCCATACGGTATACCATATACCATATACCAGGTGATAGTTTATCATTGAACATTTATTATGTCATAAAGTATGTTTTTGAAAAAAAAAAAAACGTTCACATTGTTTCTAGCTAAAAAACATCAGTTAAAAATAAATTTTTTTTTTTTTAAATATATGGTTTTAATTTCAAACTAAAAAGTTGAATATTTCTTGAAGTATTTAAACCTTAACATTTTTAGATGTTCAAAGTGGAGTGGTACATGGTTATCTCACAAAATGTTGGTCTGGTTCTTCGCTCATCTAAAGTTTTAATACTTATATAACTTACAAATAACTCGTCTTAAATTCGAATTTATGTAAAAAAATGCTCAGAATAATATTCTGCTTTCGAAGATTAAGTTACAACTAAATGTTGCAATTCAAAAAAATAAAAAACCTACTTATAAAAATTAATAAAAAATATAATTTTTTCAAGAGTCCGCGTAAAAATTTATTTTCAAAAACATTAATATTTTTCGATCATTGAGTGTTCTAGGTTTAATTAATCTCCAGGTCAGTGTGATTAAAGGTTTATTTTAACCCTCCATTAGTCACATCATTATTTGTAATACTTGAGGACTTGAGGTCATAGTCTTTTCGTGAACGTTTAGGTACTTAATATCTCATACTTTTTTTATTGACATTTTACTTACAAACCATTTATTAATGATTTACAAAAATTGTACTGGATTTATTAACTTTATTTTACAGTAAAATAAGTACGTAATGTTTTGGCGTGAAGAAAAACTGAAAACAATTCCGACCGTATACAATATGTAGCATCGACGAAAGAGTGTAAAGACTAACGTGACACGTGTAAATGTAAAACGAAAATATTGCAACCTTTTTTTTTTTTTTATTATTATTGAAGATGAAAGTTTATTTACAATCTATACATACAGTGTATAATAAGTAAGTGTGGTGACTTAAAAAAAAAAAAAATAACATTAATTACAGAGAAGGAAGGCTCCCAGCAGTGCCACTTGACAAGAAGTTAGGGTTTGAGTTTATTTATTTTATTTTTTATAATTAGGGTTTTTTTTTGTTTTAAATATTGCAACCTTTGGTTAATTATTTGAGAAAATGAGAGGTAAGTGACTGGATAGCTTGTTTTTGTTGATTTTTCCTTTTAAAATTGGACACTGACAAGAATTAAACTTAACAAAGTCGGTACAAAGTCTTTACTCTTTATAGTCACACACATTCTTTTCAGTTTCTATAGGTTACAGATTTTAAAAACAGCTATACATTCGACAAACAATAATCAATTGATGTTCTAAATAGTTTTAAAAAATAACTTAAGAGGAAGCATAGGCGTGCGCACGGGTGCAGCGAATGCTGCTCTCGCTGCACCTGACAATTTATATTGGATTTAGTGGGCTGGTAAAAAAATACATGGAATGATATTATATAGAACGAATAATTTTAAACATATTATCGAGTTTATAATTTAAAAATATAAAATATGTTCAGCGTTATTCAAATGAAAAATAATAATATTATTTTATCAATTCAAGTCTAAAAATAAATGGGTAATATTGGAGAAATTCGACGTACACTAGATTACAGACACTGCAGAAACAACAACAGTCAACAATGACAATTGCGCATTAACCATCCAACCAGTGCAGCGAATTGGGGGGGGRACCCCGATTTTTATTAAGGAAATAAGTAGGCTGCTTATTGTTCATTAGGGCYGRTTAAAAATGTATGCTGCACCCGACACAAAATCCTGCGCACGCCTATGAGAGGAAGCCATATAGGCATTTTTGTCTACGTCCTTAATAACGTAGATCTAACCTAACCTAACGCACATGTCAAATTTTACGTTCATATTAATATATTTTACCTTGTAATTTCTAAACTTAGAGTGAATTTTCTTCGTAAAAACTTTAAGAGCAATAAACCTATCTACTTATGACCATTTTTAAGTTGTTTTTTTTTTTGTACAGTTTAAAATGATCAAAACTTACTTGGATATATCAATAAAATTCTCCGAGGTGCCATAGATAATTATTTTATCTTAATATCTTACAACACATAATTCACTCTAATTTACTTCAAAAATTACAAAGTAATATGTATATTATTATGAACGTAAAGTTTGCCATGTTTTAAGTTTATAAGACGGATAAAACAAATTAACATATTATGTACATGATTAATTAAATAATTTTTAAATTCTGTAGCAAGCTCTAAGCATAGGCGTAACGCAAAGGGGCAATTTCAATAAAAAAAACTAAGGGTGCTTATACTATGCATTTTGTCATTTTAGTTTTTTTTTTTTGAAAGAAGAAGTTTTTGATACATAAGCACGATCATTATTTGAGGGTGATCATTTTAAAATTGGGGGTGCAAATACCCTATAAGCCCTCCCCCCTATTTGCGCCTATAGCGTACCAACGTGTAATTATTAGGCCATAAAATTATGTTCCTTATGGGAAAATGTTGCCAATTTTAATAGCAAAATAAGGCATGGAACAAGTCATCTTCAACCTTTAATCGTGGCCTCGTAGGCATAATATTATAGCCTTAAGGTACCGGGGAGCAGCATTGCAGAAAGGTGGATTGTTCATATTAAATCGAATATTCGAATTTTAAGAATCACGCAAAATGGTAGACTACGATATTATACTAAGAGGACGCCACACCCGCAAGTGTTGTCTCCGTCTTACAAACGTATAACATAGCAAAATCTGTTTAGCGCGGGACAACTTTACTCCCTTTGTATTTATAGTAGAATTACCAAAATTCCACAACGCATAGGTAAGAACTTTATCTGTGTCATAGCGTCGTTATTTTTTTGATAACATAAATATAATTAAAGTTATTAGCTTAAGAAAATACATTTATTTTTTCATTAAATTACTTAAAATTATTGGTTTGTGCTATCAAAAAAATAACGACGCTATGACACAGATAAAGTTCTTACCTATGCGTTGTGAAATTTTGAAAATTCTATTATAAATATTGAGGGAAAAAAGTTGTCCCGCGCTAAACAGATTTTGYYATGTTATACGTTTGTAAGACGGAGACAACACATGCGGGTGTGGCGTCCTCTTAACTGTGATATTAATATCTCACTTATCAGTTATCATTATCATTTATCATTTTTATTGCGTTTTGGTTTCCAAACATGAAACATAATGATATAGTCTATAATTTAAAAAATAAAAAGTTTAAACTGTATATTAACTGTAATTTGTAATATTACTGGTGTATTTGTATTTGAATAAAAAATAAATATATATGCAACTGTGTAAATAGTGAACAGGAAAATTTGTCAGTAAAAATAATTGTTGACTGTGACTCGCTGCTTCAAGTAATGTATTAGATTGAAAACCATAAGTGTTGAATGGACTTCAAATTCTGTATCATCTCAATGTGATAGAATAAGTCGTATCGTTAAGAAAACGATAGATCAAGTATGCGATTCAACAACAAAGAAATGATTCACATCAGTCACTCAAATCCTGTTCTTGAAGGCCGGATGTCCTATGCAAAGATGTCTAACGGGTATGCGTCTAAAGGTTGGTAACTATTAGCTAGGCTAACAATATCGTCACTGCTTGAGCAAGTGTCAAAGAGCTGATAATGCAAATTTTTTGTATACTCGGTCCATTCATGTCCTTTTGATATTAACTTGCTTCTAAATTGTATTACATTGTTATTTAGTATTACTTATATCAGAGGATATTGTCTTAATAATATTACAATAGAAAGGTTTATTTTTATCATATTATTAAATAAATAAATGCAATACATTTTAAAGGCTTTTTTTAAATCAGTCCTAAAACTTAACTTCTTAGCAAGGACACCCTCAGTGAAATTATCAGTAGGTTCAAAATATGTTTGATATCAGTATGAGCTTTACGTGGCTACATTTATCACTGCTGTGACAACTTCAAATCTTTACCTAAAAGTGGTATCTATGGATATTTTTATTTTTATTTTATAAGTAAATAATATAATTTAAATATCATTATTAAGAAAACATGTATTAGTGGATTTAAACCTATTCATATAATTTATCATATGAACATAATTATTTATGTGTAACAATTTGTATTTATTATAGTGTTCCTATATTATTATATTTGTCAATGCAAAGTAGCCTATGCATAATAATAATCACTTAATGGCTCAAACAAAACAACAGGAACAATAATGCATAACAATTATAAGAACAGATATATTTTTTAAATTTTTGATATTTTTAATTTAAATCTAATTAAGATATTAACTAGTTTAGTACAATTTTAGGTCAATATAAATTATTAATTGCAGCAGTTATAACTGATATGTTTAAGAGAGTTAATTGATTATAATAATATTATTTATTTCATGAAGTAAAAACCTAACTTATTACTTATTAGTTTGTATACACAAGTAGGGCTATGAATATGTAGGAAATGGATTTTGTTATGTTCGGCTTTTTATGTGACATAGTTTTATTTTTATTACAGAGTTAAAAGCGTCAGATTGTATTCAAATTTTATACATTAATTTCAGATAAATATATTTTATCATATCTAATATTAAATTAATTTCAGATATAATTAGACGCATTGTGTTTCCATTCTTGTAGGACAGTACTATTCACAGTGGTTCTCAATATATTTACAGTTATCATACAAATTAATTAAGAATACTAAAATTATATTGTCTAGTGTTTTCAATAAACTAATATAATCAGTAGTTTTTAAATTTTTAATTATTATCACCAAGTACCTACTTAATGAATACAAAATAATCGACCTATGCAAAAAAAAATAAATACAAATTACTCTATTACTAATTGTAATTTAATATTAATAATTTAATAACTTAAATATTTTAAGTCAATAAACCTATGAATTATTTCAAAATTAATTGATAATTTACTATAGGTTTCAAGGAAAGATGGTTTCGGCTCAAGTASAACTTATTATTTTACTTTAAAATTAATGGATTTGGGCAAGTTGATTTACACCAAGTAAATAGAATAAATCATTTTTTTTTTTTGATTAATTTGTTGTTAATTTTAAATAGTCATTTACAGATTAAACATTGTATTACATTTTTTACCTACTTTTATTTCAATTAATTAGTTATTTATAATCATAACATTTTATTTCTATACATTTTGTTCATTAAATTTTGTGTAATATTATGTTCTTAGCCAGCTGGTGTTTTTGTTTTGGAGAATTCTATTGTAAGACTTGAGAACAATTTGCCAGGAACATTATTTTCATTTTCTCTTTCGTTTAAAGATGAACCAGATAAAAAGTATATTATTTCTAGTCAGTCTGAGGATCATGTTCACCAGTGGATCAAATGTATTCAAAGCTCAACGTAAGTGTCTTATTAGTTGTATTTATTTTATTGGGTGAACCTATGATTGTATAATATTATATCAAGTTATATTCTGTAGTATTCTACTAAAATACTTTATTATTATTAATTGACAAATAAGGATTAACTCAAAACCAAGGTTTAATTTCCAATTTGATTTATTATTCTTGAGGTAAATAATAGAAAGATAATTGTGCTGTATAGTAGATTTTGAGTGTATCTCGTCATTGAATATGTCATCAGTGTTATAATTTTCTAAAAACATTGTATGATAAATGATTATGAATCTTTAAATATTATAATTTCATTCAACTTGTTGACTATAACAGTACTCATGTACTATATTAGTAAAATATTTTGGAAATTTCATTGTGCATATAAAATAACAATATACGTAATGGAAAAAGAGTTACAAATCCTAAATTTTATATTTTTGTTTTTCGAATTACACCAAAGTAATTAAAATCTTGCTAAAATCTTTAGATGTGAAATAAAATTTGTTTGCAGAATATGTATTATTATTTTTTAAATTGCTGTAAGAACTGTACTAAAGAGAACCTTTTATTAATTTTCAATATTTTTAACAGAGAAATAAATCAAAATTTTTTTATCATTTTTAATGCCTAATAATATATAATTTTAAATTATATTATCTTTTTCTTGATAAATCAATGCATGAAAAACATACATGTGGCATATTAATATACTATAAACTATACTCGGTTTCATTTATTCCACATTTCATGATGGTTTTCCAAAACTGTTGAGAATTTCCTACTAGATCATAATATCAATGTAGACATCTTGTTGAAATATCATTGAAACTTCAAAGTTCTAGTATAATACTTACAGCTTAAAGTTTAAAGAACACATTTTAAATTAAGTTTATATTTTATATGGTCAAATACTTAAGTATGTAAATGACAAAATAAGTTAAATGCCATTTCATTCTTGTTTTTATAGCTTAGCTATGAAAAACAACTTCAAACACTACTTTTGAAAACACTAAAGTGAAAAATACGACGAGAGAGCATTTAATTTATTTTGGGAAGATATCTGTTCTGATTTTTAGGTAGGTAGGTAGGACTTGTGAATGAAACTTTTTACATAGAACCGTGTTTTTAAGATAAACGATAAAACGATACTTGTATATTTTACTTCATTTAAACTCGTACGCCATTAGCATGAAATTACTTCTTTTTTTTTTGCAAGACAAATTTAAGCCAATTAGATATGCGAGTTTAACGTCTGTGTTTGTATGATATAAGTACCTAATGTTTAGTAAATCTAGTTTTTAAATTAAAAAATTACGATTTTAATGATAATAATTTGAAAATAAAACTATATGGAGACCAAACTTCGAAAACGGCGAAGACTGAACCGATTAATATAGATGATATAGAGATGGTTATACTTTATACATAAATTGACCTAATTTGAAAAAAAACTTTGAGTTAGAGTGTACTTATTTGTAATTTAATTTAAATTATTAAGTATGTATATTATATATCAATTTATGGGTAGTATTTATAGGTATAAACATTGCTGTTATTACTGTTAATATTATAATTTAATTTTAATTAATTTAAGAAAAAAATGTTCAGCTTATACCTATAATATTGCGTTCCCAGTGAACATTTAGGCCTCTAGAAATTTTGATATATGATAATACAAAATAATGGCAAATTCGAAGTAAAAATTACAAAATTAAGACTATTGTATTCATAATTTTATGGTTAGGCATAGTGGTTGACAAGTGTTTATTTTTCAGGTATGAATATATGAGAACTCGAATGACGTCGATACAAAAAAAAATCGTGGAGCTTACTGGAAGAGTATGTACTTATTATTACCTAACTGTATACTGTCGGTTATTTTTCTATTTGTATAATTGTGGAAATATAAAATTGTACTCGAATACCCGACCTACCGCATTATACGAGTAAGTGCCGTCCGCAGTAAAATCAAAAATAATTTATCCCCCGTGGGAATTATTATCCACAAAAGTGTGTATTACTATCATGATATATATCTCAATACGAGTACATGTAGGTATGCATCAATGCCACTGATCATTGTCATTATTATAAAAATATCGTTGCAGCAGTAGGTTTAACACGTCACATACGTAAATATTTTTCGTTAAAGGTCGTTAAACAGGCGCATTCAAGTGGCACGTGTCATATAGTTGGTATATTATGTAATATGTCTTTTTTGTGGTTCGATTCGCGAATTTAAATTAAGTTAAAACGTGGCAGCAAATTTAAATTCTTTTAATAGGATATCCCTTATACATACACGTCATGATGACAGTATATCTGTCTATTTGTTATTGAATGAGCTGATATAACATATTTTTTTAAACCTCGTATATAGTCCGCGCCACGAGAGAACGCATACGGCGGCCGACCAAAACACGTTTTTTTTCGCGCATTCCCACCACTTTACCAGCACGATCGCCACCCGTCGGAGCGCTTCGGAGCACATCGATTTTGTCGGCAGGTGTATACACTGCGATTACAATAACAAAAACATTTTTTCATCAAGTCGTTAGTCGTTTACCGAATATTCCATAAAATAGGTCTTGATTTACTACAGGTAAAAAACTAAAAAAAAATAATTTATGCGTAAATTATTACGCACAATTAATACGACACGGTGCGTGTTGCTATTGTATTACTTGAGCCGCTGTATGCACTGTATGCAGTATTACTCTATGGTATGCAGWGACCAGTTGTYGCATGGTGGGGAGATTTGGCCTCGAGACGTTCGAACGCAATCATTTGAATGCGCGAGCCGTATGCGTTCTCTCGTGGCGCGGACTATAGTAACGTAGGTACTTGATCATCGTATGGTTATAGCTTACAATAAAATAAACCGTTTCTGCAGATTTAATTTGTCAATTTAATTTCTAAGCTTATAAGGTGCCAGCTAGGGTAGGCCGTGGTATTGATATATTCATGGGGCATAAGTGGGTGCATAAACAATATTATTATATAGAATCGATATCAACTGTAATAACTAATTATAGATTTATAATAATATAACTTCGGTAACATCAACAATTTGAGGTTTTTGATTCTTACATCCTCTCCCCTTTTCTCTTTGTATATACCATTGTCCATTGAGTATTTATACTATAAGGAAAGAGATTAAAGAGAAGGTGTACCGCAAACGTATTGGTACACTTATATGATCTATATATTGAAAAGGTTAGGTTATAGGTAATTCACCTTGTCTAGATTTTGTGTGATATGAGATGTATTAGGTACATGCGATTTGTATTAATATCTTAAGCATTATTTATTTTTTTAATAATATAAAATTAAAACTAGCAAAGAAGAAATTGATCTCAGCGTTTTTATTTGTTTGATATTATAGATATCTATTGGATGAAATGCGGGAAAATTTGTTAGCTTTTAAATGTTTTTTGTATGGTTATATAAAATAAAAAGTTTTTGAAAAAAATATAAAAACATATCAGTAATCAGTTAAAAAATTCTTTAATATTTATTATAAAACAATTTTGGCAATTTTATTAGTATTGATTAAGCGATGTAACAAAATACCAAATCAATTTGTTAATAAATTATTAAAATTAAATATAAATATATTATTATGAATGATTCTCTGGTGGTGTGGACGCTTAAGTAAGTTGTTGACTGATGAAAACTTAATCACGTTTCACTGTTGTAGGATCCGCTGTTGATGTATCCAGAGGAAGGGAAGAAAATTGGCCGTACGAGAAGATCGGTGGCCGATGAAGACAATAGTAATTTATTTTTCAACCAGTCGACGGATCCACTCCCGCCACCCAGGCACAAACACGACGCCGGCAAAACGGCCGACTTGAATCTTATCGAACTGTAAATTAACCGTATCTGTAAGTAGGTATGTTATGCGTGTATGCAGAGAAGGGGTTGTTTGTTGTTTACCATCATGTAGAACGATACTAGCTGGCGACGCGCATGCATCGATATACCTTTATTTTGTAATATGCGTACCGGTAGCTAGTTGTGATTTTACGTTTTCGATTTCGATTACATTACCTATATAGTGGTACACGCTTTACCGCAAAAATATTATTGTTATAACTATATATACACGGTATACTGCCGTTGACCTTGTTACCGTAGGTATATTATCATACACATCGGCAAGGTGGTTCAAAATGTACAACTGAAACGTATTCACTTTTGGAAAACGTTTTCCCGGATATGCTGCGTCCCGGATAAATTCCTATATATAATACGTTATTATATTAAATTCGTGCAACATATGGTTTCCATCATTTTGTTTAGGTAGGTAAATGTAGGATATTTTATAATATATACAAGATATACATGCATACATAATATATAGTAAATAACGCGATTATCAAATAATATTTTAATGCACCGTATATTGTATGTATTAAGTGGTGATGTTGTGCGCTCGAGAGTTTAATGTTGTTTGGATTTATATTATATTGCTTGTTATTGATTTTTCGATGTATTATTATTTTTTGTAAGTTTGGTGAAGTTATTATTTTCTTTTGTAAAAGTATATATACCTTCCTCCTACCTACCCATATATATTATATAAGTATACACTTGCTACGTTGCAATTTATTTATCAGATACGACCAACAAACTGAAAACTCAGCAATTGTGTTAATATAATAAATATTTTTGTACGATTATTTTTATCGTATTTTTCCTTGAAAACCTTTAGTACTTACATCCAAATCCTCATTGCTTAGGTTTATTGCTTTAGTTAGTAAGATGTGTATATATTATAATTATCTATGCATAATGCGAGTTAAATCAATCCAGTTTCGTTTTTTAATCCACGTCACCTCGACCGTCTTATAGCTTGGCATGTGAGAATAATAATATTTCTTTTCATCTCTTAGTCATATTTATAAATAATAATTAAAACAATTTTGTTTGAGATTGTAAAATTATATGTTTATATTGATGGGAAAAGGTTATATAAAAGTAGATACTTTATAGGAAAAAGTACAAAATCGAGAAGAGTGCTGGAGGTATCGGTGCAGCAAAAACTTTTGAAGAGTTTTGATGCCCATAAGAGAAGAGAGATGGAAAACAGGAGTTAGTTAATCGATCTGGTGTACATTAGGTGTCGATAGTATCTCATCATTGAGTAAGTGTGTATGACTAGAGTATGATTTAAATTTAAATTAAATGATGAATCATTGCATACAAAAAATGATTTTGAGCAAAGACAGGTTAGTTTAGGTTAGGATATTTTTATAGTCACTCCATACTATTTTTACCAATATCACCATTCGGCATTCACCGTTTATTCGTACGTCATTAAGACGTAACATTAAAAGTCTGCTAGCTAGATTCAGTTATTCGACTTGTCTGGCGCAATGTGTAGGCAATTTAGCTACATTTTTGCGAATGACATCAACATTTTAATATTATGTATGTCTTAACGGTCGTGAAATAAAATATTGATATAATCATAGATAATTTTTGTTTTATGCTATTTGTAAACACCAGGTTACACTAATATTATAGTTTATAATGTGTTGATGAGGTGGAGTGTGCATTCTTCTAAAAATATAAGTGAGTTTAGATAGTGATTGGTGTATTAATTTAAGTTATTTACTCGTAATATTATCTGCGAGGGTTTATCATGGCTTGGTAAAAAATGTTGATTTTTTTAACATGGAGTATACTAAATACATTTTTTCTGTGGGGGTCGATATTTTAAATTGTTTTAAATTTTATATTTGCCCAGTCACGTTAGGATTGCTAAGCTCATGGAAAACCTGCCGGATGTATCAATGTATCTATATAATATTATATAAAATACCCAAAAATGTATTGTACATAGACTAAAATCATTTTAAACCTAGACATCATGCTTTATATCTCAACATTTTTTTCTATTTGGTACCTCATGATCAAAATATATGCATATTAAATTATACTTCTGAGTGTTGCTGCTGGGTGACTTCTCTCTTTATGTTTCCATGTCTTGTATATGTATATACGTTTTTTTGTATATATTATACTTATTGTAAAAACTATTACAATAATTGTGTATAATGCAATAAATATAAAAAAAATATATACATATACTTACATGCATTCTGTGAATGATATTATTTCGTCCTACTCTCGTACCCAAGTTTCCGATTCAGCTGCGAATTATAATTGCAATGAAACTAACAAATGTCATGGCATTTTCATAGTGTGTGTAGGTACATACACTACATATATATTTTATTCCTATATATAAAAAGTTTTAATGAATTCCTTTTTATACATTTTTTTCCAAACATATTTTCAAGTAGGTATATTAATTGACTAGAAATGATTGTAAAATCTAATCTGAAACAAGAATTATTTAACAAAGTCATCGTATTGATGTTTTAAATCTATGTATATGTACATATTAACAATAATAACAATTTTATATTTTTATAATAATACTATATAGTATATAAAACGCCGGGAAAAAAATTTAACACAATACTTATTATATTTCACTAACAGGTGATGATAATAATAATAATAATAATAAATAAAAAAAACAACAACGTGTACAAATAATGACATTATGACATGTGTAGGTATTTAAATATAATAATAATAATAATATTGATTATAAATTTGAACGTTTCTACGAGAAACAACGGACCGGCGACGATTATCGTATACAGTATTGTTTGACGACGTGTCAAATCGGCGAAAATACCTTAGTCATAAATGGAAACAATTTTCAATAGAATTATTGGTTTAGTATAACGTGCGTTATTGTATTATGTAATAAGACTGATAATGAACACGCATATTCGGTACGAACAAAACCTAATCCGTTTATAACCGTAACATGTATATGATATATAAAAGTGTAATGTATATATACATATATATGAGAGAAATAAAAACGCCTGAATGAAATGATGAAAAAAAAATAAATATATATACATTTATTAAAGGTATAATATGTCGCTGTTACATACAAACGAAACGGAATGAAATAAAACGTTCAAAATGCAGAACGAAGGAACACGATGATATCCTAGGGAAATGTTTTATTTTTTGAGTTATGATCAAAACTTTTCGCGTTTTTCTGGTCGTTTTTCGGAGATGGCAAACAAACGAAGGAAAATAAAAATAAACGGTTTGGCCGGCGAAACAGTGTGCGGCGCATGTACTTATGATGTGGTTGGCAATGGTGGGGGGGGGAGGGTTGAATCACGCGTGTTTAACTGTATTGTGGAAAACGCGTCGGCGGCCGCGAGGAAATCGAATTTATTGTCGTACGAACGAGG